AAAAACATGCATAACTCCTTAACGGTTTGAGATACAGCGTTGAAATTCAGTAAATATATTTATAGTTTTGACCACCTTTGTGTAAAATATGAATACAAAATTTATAACAGTTTCAATATGGTGGCGATATTTTGTTTTCAAAGCTTAATATCTTATTATAAAACAAATAAAATAATAATTAAAATAGTCTCTATTTTAACAACAATTTTTTGTAACAAGTGAATTTTGACTCCAGTTGTACCTATAGAAATTTACTGGCCGGTACTTCCGGTAGCCAATAGTATATAAGGGACGCCATTTTTGATTCTTGTCATTCGCCTATTGGGTCTGATGATGATTGGAGTGTCCAATCGAAATCGCTCACCAATTACCAACTTTCATATGTATTTACCGTGAATCTACAGTATAAGTGTAAATATATTATTACTAGTGTTATTAGACATATAATTTTTTCAGATAGATTAATGTTGAACTTGTCATGTGGCTAACTCTAAAACATTGGACTTCTAAGGACACAACCTAACTTTTCAGATACCACGGCGCACGTACTTCGTTCACGCTGGGCTGCTCGAGTATTTACATAAGTTCGAGCTACAACTTCCACCCGGTCGCGTCACCTGTCTCGTGTTCCCGAGTACTCGGCATTTTTAATGTTAAATGTTCGTGTCAATGTGCGTTTTCGTGTGTTCGTGTTCTATGTACTTATTTATTAAATGACGACCTTCATATATGGAAGTGAATAACGACGCCTTGTACGGCCTGAAGATGGTTCCCTCTCCCTGTGAACCGAAACTATAGTTGCCACAAGCAGCATATTGGATTACTGAATGCAGGTATTTAAACCATTACAAATAATGTTGAACGGTTAATAAATTGTTATATAAAAAAACTTCTTAGTCATAATTAAATGCATAATTGCACAATTGCATAATTGGACAGATAGCCGACAATCTGTTTCGCAAAATCATATTGGTGATAGTTATTTAGGAGAGGTTTAAAGTAATTGCCACCACTTTATAATCAACAAATTGGATATGCAATCACCCGCGATTAAAAGACGGATTAGTGACGAAACAGTTTTAGGAAATAGCATAGACTAACCAACACAAGGGGGTATGTTTCATCTATGGAAATATGCATGCAATATAGAAACCAAACAAGTGTATGTACTGTATTTACATTACTTAAGTTAAGAATGTTTCTTTTGTATATCGTTTGGTAGATAGAATTGGGGAACTCCAAACTAACAAAGAAGAGTTTTCTAAAAGGATTTGAGTGGTTTCGTTCACCAATACAGGCCAATAACTTTAGCACTTCTTTCTGGTTTCCAAAAGAGAATTCACACACAGTCGTAAATATTTCCATTTTATAGCATTAATTTTTATGTTCTTCAAGTAGAGCATTGCTTTTTCCCACATTATTTGTTATGTTATACAGAATGTTCCGTAAGTAAAAAGAATTTAGGAAAACGTTTATGAAATCAATAGTGATGCTTTTCGGCGTCAACCGCGTCGTCAGTTATAGACATAGAAAACATAGTGAGTACGATACGTGGTATTGTGAGTGTGTTCTCGATTGTTGAAGATCACTGCCAAACTTTTCGTCCTTGTGAAGTGGCATAGTGGATAGGCTGAGACTAGGTACGTTTAATGAGTCAAAATAAAATGAAAATCAAGAACAACATTTCTTTCAAAATACCTTGTTTTTTTAGTTATTCACCATTTTGTTTTTGTATTTACGATTTACATCTTAAATGATATTAAAATATTCTTTATGGAATTCGGTAGGTATACAACTCCAACCAAAGAGTGAAAAACTATTTGCAAAATTTAAAAAGCATATTTTATTAATTCTCTTGAGAGCTAATCTATTTAATATTAGTACCGGGGATGAGCCATGGCTTGGTATAGTTTATTTCTATGGTAAAAGCAATATAAATGGAAAACTTCAGCATAAGCAATGAGCATACTCTCTAAAATACTCTCGTATGAGGGATTAGCTAAAGACAGATAAGTCTGATTCAAGTGTATATTGTTTACTATAGAATTTATTGTAATACAATTTTAATACGGATTCTACTGAATACGGCTGGCAAAATTATGTAAACTATAAAAAAGAGTGCATATAAATTGATTGTAAAATCTACCCTTAAATAAGAGTGAAACATTGAGTCGACGCCAGTGCACTCAAACGTCATCAACACGAAACACTCATCATCACTTGCTCTATTTCCCCCTATATCGAGTAATCTTTAGTGTAATCTTTGCTCAATAGTTACAACTGATGTTTTTCACTTTGTACTGTATTTTGTAATTTGCTAGTATACTGTGGATGGTTTATAAAACACATTTTTTACATGTCTTTCGTTTACTTACTTGTTAATTTGTTCAACCAACATAGTTTCTTGGCAACCCATAAGGCCAGGGTTAAATTTTTTATATATTCAAATGAATTGTGTAGCAAAATAATAAAATATGAATTTTCCTGAGGTAGTGCCTGTCGCCAATCACATTTTTAGGGCTAAGTTATACGTCCCTAATTCCAAAATTTTTCAAATTTTTCCGCTGGATTTCAAGATGTATTACATTTTACAGAGAGACAGACAGACAAACAGACATATAGATCTATTAGAGTATAGTCCCTAATTCCAAAATTTATTCAAAATCCTGCCGCTGGATTTCAAGATATATATTACAGACAGACAAACAAACAGATAGCTCGTATTACAGTAAATAGGATTGAATATCATTTCCAATAAAAATCCGTTTCCACTTTTATAATGGTATGATTTTAAAGGGATTCGTACTACTCTTAAGCTTATTCTTCGTCTATAAGTTGAAAGATATAAGTACCAAACACCAGAAGCAGTATACGTTATTTTTTCATTCAAAAATGTTTAGGCCAAACTTGAACAGCTAATTTCAATCGCTCCGAAATTAAAGATACGGCAAAAGTACGACCAAATAAATAAATTCAAAACATTTACACTACACTTTTCAAAGATGATTTGGAGGTGGCCCCTGCCCACCCCTTTAAGACGCCCCTGAAATTACCCAACCAGCCTAATTTAACCCCATCATTCGAATAAACCTCCATACCTTACCTCAACCAAGAGGACCAATGAGATGCCAGTAGCCATCACGTCATCATGTTTCTTCTGGCTTCCCTCCCAAATCGTTGATACATGAGGACACCTGTGTTATATTCAATTTTTTGCCGCAATGTCACTTTTACTATGACTAAGACAAATGTATCGGGAAAACTGCTGCTTATTCCCTTTAACAAACAGTAAAGTGTACACTGAAGACTTTAACCTGAAATAATATTCTTTTAGGATTAGGGTAGTCTATATCAAACGTCACAAACATCAAACCAGAGAGTTAATATTTTAACAGAGTACCTATGAAAAATGTACTTGAAACTAAAATGAAATGACTTTATTCGCTTTTAACATGAAAAACATGCATTGCAATCGTCAATGTTATAGTCACTTATCAAAGCAAACCATGCAAAAATACAGATTTGAGTACAAAACCATGCGTTCTACTCTACAAAGTTCTACTCACTCACACAATAGGCATACATTTTTTAAATCGGAATCCTCAAGGCTGGCTAAACATGTAGCCAAAAATGAAATAGTTATTTGTGCAACTAGTGAGCAAAGGGAGAATTGACTCACTCGAGAGAAATACTTACTCACGAGCCGTAGGCGAGTGAGGAATGTTTTCTCGAGTGAGGTAATTGCACTTTGCACTCGAGTTGCACATTATATTTTTCCTACAGTTACCATAAAACAAATAAATTGGTAAAGAAACGTGACATATTTTTACACAGAAGTGATCTTTTAATATTAAATTTTTAATGATAACATTACAACAGCTGACCAGCTGATTTACAGCCAGTGCTGCCAACGTATTTCGCGCGCATACGACCTTGTCTGCATGTTATGCGCTCACTATTTCGTGCCTTCACGTTGCAAATCTGGAGTGAGTGAGACAAAGTAATTAGAATGAGACAATGTTAACATTGTCTCACTGATGAGCGAATTGGCCACTTAGCTTTCTCAAATCAGTGAGAGAACATGTACATTGTTAGGTAACTGTAGGAAATAGTTATTTGTGCAACTAGTGAGAAAAGTGAGCAATTGACTCACTCGAGAGAAATCCTTACTCACGAGCCGTAGGCGAGTGAGGAATGTTTTCTCGAGTGAGGCAATTGTACTTTGAACTCGAGTTGCACATTATACTTTTCCTACAGTCTAACAGTTAACCATAAAACAAATAAATTTGTGAAGAAACCTAACCTATTTTTACACAGAAGTGAACTTTTAATATGACATTTAATGTGAAGTGACAAATACAACAGTACAACAGCTGACCAGCTGATTTACAGCCAGTGCTGCCAACGTATTTCGCGCGCATACGACGTTGCCTGCATGTTACACGCTCACTATTTCGTGCCTTAACGTTGCAAATCTGGAGTGAGACAAAGTAATTAGAGTGAGACAATGTTAACATTGTCTCACTGATGAGCGAAATGGCCACTTTGCTTTCTCAAATCAGTGAGAGAACATGTACATTGTTAGGTAACTGTAGGAAAAATAAATTACCTTTCAGTTCTTTTATTGTCTTTGGTAATTTATTGAAAAATATTGCTCCCTTGAGCAGTACATATATATTGCTTGTCATATATATTACCCCATATAAATCAATGGTGCAAGTAAAATTTTTAAGGTAAAATCAGTATATTACACTGAAATATTTAAAATTATAACCATCAATGTACCACTCTTAAAACAAATTATTATTTTATTTCTTATAATCAATGAGTGTTCCATTGTATTTATTTATTTAGATTTCCGGCAGTAAACCCTTGTTTCCTGTTTCTAGTTCATCAAGAAAAAAAAAACAAAAAACAGATCCAATCAGATTCAGATTTTCAAACGAACGAAACGAACTTCAACTTCAACTTAGTTGTTAAAAGTTAACTATTCTATTCTATTTGCGCGGCATGATGAACGTAAAGAACGATATGCAATTCAATACAATACGAATAATTAATTAATTATCACGAATTTTTGTTGGTTTGTTTCGTTTCGAGAGTTTGATATCCGACTGTCGAGTGTTAGAACAAGTAGAAGTTTATGTTGAGTATAACTTAATTTTCATTAGTTTTCAGTCAGTCTGACATTGATTTTCCTGTGCAAACAAGAGTATGCTTGCCCTAGCCTATCCTTGTTTAGGAATCGTAAGGACTTTCTGAAATTGGAGCTACAGAAATTAAATAGCCTAGGCTATTACTTTTGTGGTAAGTATTGTGTCACCTACCTATAATGGCCAACTTTTATCAATTCCTCAACGTCTTCGGGTTTACCATCGATATTTTTAACACACCTCTATCAATGTGTATCCACACAACCAAAACAATAACTTAAGTTAATCCCTCTTTCTGGTTCGAGAACTAAGTTTTCCTGATTTTGAATCATGAAAAACCCCGTTCAATCCCGCCCGAGTGTTATATTTGACGTCTAGGCCTAACGCGTTAAACTTGTTTAACTTAACTTAGGCCTTCTCTTTTGCTATTTTCACCTAAGTAGGGCCTATAGGCCTAAAGACAGCCTATAACATTTTAAAGACCTACCGGTATAGGCCTAAGTTAAGTTAACTTAGCCCAATAGGGTAGACTTCCGTAGGCTATCTGTTGTAAAAAACAACCGAAGAAAATATGTTATCCATTCGATTGTTTCATCATTCGATATATCGTTTGGTTACATAGTTCGATCGATATTTTTATTCGGTTGTTTTTGACAACAGATACGGAAGTCTTACCCGTCCAATATGCTAAATTCTATATTATTAAACAAGTTGTCTAACTGGAGAGATTTTTGTGTTCAGGTAAGTTGTCTGGACTTAAGTTAGTCTGTACCGTAGAGATAGGCTTTGAAACCTAGGCCACCCCACATAATGAGTAAACTTAGGCCTATAGAGAGGCTACCCTACTTAAAATATAGCTTACAGTCAACGATTAAGTTAAATTCTGCTTCATAAGTCACTTGGCAACATCTAGGGCCTAACTTAAGCTTACTCACTGTGTATTATTAACTTCAGGTACGGTAATATTTACTAACTGGGTAACTTATTGTTGGCCTGCTTCATTAAGATGTAACTGGTAGTGTATTGAATAGTCTCACTGCCAAAACTGGGAAGCTGTTCAACGATTTAGCAAAGTGTGCATCTTGGTACCGTACATCTAGATCGATAGCTCAGCCTCTATTTTTGTGCTGATGTAGGGCCTACTGCACTACGCTGTATAAAACACCAATGCCTCTGAGGGTACCGTAGGCCTACCTGTACTTCATGGTAAATTACCGTACTTACTATCTTGCTTTATTTTCCACATTTTTAGTGGAATTTTGTTCGAATAGGCCTAAGTTTCCTACTCAGGTTATTCAGTTTTTCAATTTTCTTCTGAATTTTAAATTTCTCTTCTTTCAGTTGAAAATTTTAAACCATGAGTGTGCAACCTCCCAGATACACAAGTACTCCTCGTGCTGGTCGAGACACCGCCAACGCTCTACAAAACTTCAATGATGTCTCTCCAATATTCTCTACGGAAATTGTGAGAAAAGTGAAATCATCAATCCCGATTTTGTCATATAATAGGTGAGTGTTAAAAAAAAAAACAAGAAATTTTGTGTAGGTTTGTAAACTTAGCCTACTACAAAGATAAAATTTTCCAATTTTTCTCAGAAATTATTTAACATGCCTACCTATCATAGGCGTAATTTGTCCCTTCTAAGTTGAGTAGCCTAAGTAAGCACTTACGGTACTCTAGTGATGTGATGGGTCAAAGTACTCTACCGGCTCGAGTAGCCTAAATTTGACTCGATAGGCTACTGTTACTACTAGAGTCAGTACTCGAGTACTGGACTCGATTCTTACCTGTAAGTTATAGCAATGAAAATCTGTTGATTCGCAGCGGCAAATTCCAGAAATGAATCTTGTCTAGAGTCGCTGAAATTGATCTGAGTCACAACCCGTGTAGTACCAGACGGACTCTGGCTCGTTTTATAGTACTACTAGGTGAACCCGTGCGAATTCGCACGAATAATAAATTAGGATATTATAGCAACGTCGTTAGAAGTTGCGTCGTTGTATCGACGTTGGTCTTGAGCTCGATCGTAGGTTATATGCATGCTAAGGTCTTTGTGCTTAGGAGTATTTTGCAGGACGGAGCTCATCGTGCTGAAAGCTTGTGCGTATGGATTAATATTAACCAAATGTTGAGTCAAAATGTGCATGAGCTCAGTGCTGAAAGAGCCATTAGCTTTGTTTAGCATTCTTTCTTGAACAGCGGTTTCGACGTCCGTAGATATAAATTTGGGCATGTGTGGGATGCTCCCCTTCTGACAGTTGAAAGGTGCCAATTGATTGATAAATTGTGTCGACCGTGCACCTTATACATGAAATGCCCTCCATCGTTATGTTCTTCAATTTTAGCTCGAGTGCTGACCATTGCGAGCGCAGAGTTGTACGATGTAATGTTGTCCTTGTAGTTTCGTTTTTACACAAATGATTAGCTCCATTAGGTAGGCTCTTGTATAAAATATATTTCCCGGTATGGTGGTATATTCACTATTCCTTTATAGCAGAGCAGGATGAAAATCCTTCGCCTCGTCCTCTTTGTTCTTCTTTTAAATGTAGCGCATCTCATTTCTGACATTTTAATGCCATCTCGCCAGGTGAATGCTGCTGAATTCTTGCATTTGTCAGTGTAATTTTGTAAGTACACGTTGCCACTAACTGCTCCAGCTCCTCGTCTATGCTTCTTACGTTTTGTATTGCTTGCTGTATGTTGACTCGCCGTGTCCGACCGGCAATATTTCTTTCTCGTTGGGTCCTTGGCATGTATAAACGAAAATATAATGTAAAACTTTTCTCCCGTCGTGTTCTATAGATAACATTTCTTTGCCAGGTTTCTAATTATTTTCAAAAACATGCAAACTGTTTACATTTCAAAACCAAACAAAACAGCTGGGAATTAAATTTTTTGTAAACTAATGTATTGACATCTGTTTCAGAATATAATAACATACAAATCAATCACAATGTTATTAATTAAATTATTATTGTTACCTTACAATATCCGTTTAGTGTTGGTGGATAAACAACTACATGTTTCGTGGCGACTGCCACATCCTCAAATATCCTCTTCTCAGATTCGTCATCAATTTAAAATATAAAACATAGAACACACGTAGAAAAACACATAACATTTACTTTGGTACCGTCACGGTGTGTGCACGCGTTTGGTCGGGCCGGCGGCGATGTTATCCTTATGGAAGGAACTTTGAGGGCAGCCCACGCCCTTAAAAAGATATATTTCGAAAATCTAAAGCCAGTTTGCACACCTACACACCTATACGAACATTTTGGTATATAATATGTGGGGTTAAATCTTAAAACAAAAAAGCCTTATTGTTCACAAAGTTTCATGTCGCGTATTAAATATATAGATGCCTATTTATGGATTTGAGATAAGAGTCATGGATCGGTTTATTCATTAGGTTGGGTTGATATTTATAGCATTTAAGTTATGTATGATATATTTTATATTTAATTCTTGACTCGAGTAAGCCAATTACTTGGTCGAGCGCTATCTAGGCCTACTCATGGCAGATGGCTTTGGAACTACATCTAGCAGTCAACAGTGTACAAACTGTAAAGCAAGCGAGCGTTGTCCACTCTTAGTGATTGTTCTAGTAGGCAGATAAACTTAAGTTTATGAGTAATAGTACGGTACTCGAGTATCGCAGATAGGTATCGAGTGGACTCGATACTTACTGAGTCAAGTACTCGACTCATCACATCACTCTGAGCTTAGTCTTCAAACGCCTTCAAATCGGGTTACTTCAGAATTTTGAGGCTGAATAGGCGAAGAATTAGACAAACAGTAGAACTAATCACCGGACATGGATGTTTTGAAAAACATCTGCAATGTATGAGTTGTATGATGGTGTACCACTTTGTAGAAAATGCTGTAGGAAACAGCCAATCACCTGCTCTTTGACTGTGAAGAGCTCTTTGAGGGAAGAAGGACATCTCTTGGTTATCTGCTAAGAGGGAGTCACCTTCCCGAGGACAAATTAACTGGCAGTCTACAGGCATTTATCTGGTCCTTGGATGTTTAAGGTCTTTCAATGAAACAACTTAGTGGAGTGCGCAATAAATTGACGAAGTGTGGCTTTTGGCCCGGCTCTGCAAAATAAAATAAGATAGGTGGAATTTGTCTATCTTTTTTGACGTCCATGTAATGCCGATATATAATCCATACTCTGTGTATTTTAGGTCAAATGGACCGGTTAGCTCCAGTGGTGCAAAGTCCCAAGTATCAACATCTAGTAACACTAGCACTGGTAAGAATAATTGTTCACTTTCATATTATTTGTCATACTATACTGTCAATATTTTACCAAAAAACTATTTTTTCTCCCCTTTATCAGCAAACTTAATTAGGTAGCCCTACTTGTAAGACCTGGGTATGCCCCTGCAACAGTCTGAGATATTTTAGTATATTTTTAACAATTTTTTTGTCTCAGTGTGTGAGTAGTTATTTCCTTTTGCAGTGAAGTGGTGAAAGGATAAGAGGTTTAAGAGATGGGCAAGTGGCTTGTTTTTCAATCCGTGAAAGCATCAAGTTAGAATTCGAGTTGAGTCAAAATTCCCGTAATAGTCTATTGCATTCACAAAAACTTGCAGACATTTTGCAAATTGCAAGAGATTTTGCGTGAATCACAGGATACTAAGATGATGTTTAAAACCACTAACCAAGGAAAATTGATTTCACCTTGATCGCTTTGCAATCAATATTTTTTCAATTTTCATCATTGCATTCCACTATTAAACAATGCAATGACAGTTATGCAACCACCCATAACACAACCAGGTACGCCACAAATATGCTGTCAGGTTTAGCGCCCTGCTGGTTTGTTATAGACTATAGTTGATAGTTGGGGGTGGCACTACCCATCTTCCATCTTGTTACGAAATTGGTCCGTTTAGTGAGTCCACTGTCTGTGCTTCAATAGGTTATCATGTTTGTATATTAGCTAATCCCCCCTAATCTTTTTCCATATTTGGCTGTATAGTAATCCTGATTCTCAGTAGGTATTTAAAATTGTTTAGGACGGCCGAGATCATGTCCAAGTACAGCATCAGGCAAGAAAACATTTGAGATCAAGACTCAAGCAAAAGGTTTGAGCTTTAAATTTTTTTCTCAATAATTATGATTTTAATCTTAAACTAGTGTACATGTTGCTCGAAATCGAGCAATTGCGAAGAAGTACAGGAGTTATTTATAAACAAATTACTTGTTGAAAAACTAAGAATAGTCATAATTTCCAATAATTTTAAAAGAGCCAACTAAAAGATTATTAATCAATGGAAATACTCACAATTTACATAACAGTCCTATTCCAGTTTAAAGGGTAAATTTTTAACAATCAAACTGCCCATGGACGGGAATTGCTTACAATTTAAGTCAACGTAAAAAAGCTGTCAGCTTTTATAAAGTACCAATTAAGTAAAAATTGAACTAATAACGTATATCATTAAACAGAAACCAACATCCAAAGCTATACACATTTTTAATACAACGTAGATAATTTTACAAATTGACTGTTAACAATTAACGTATGTTTTTCTTCTCACTATTAATTTTTCCTTCGCAATGGGAAAAATCTGTTTCTGAATCATTGAAATAAATTTATAATAAATAATTTATCATAAAGTTTAAGATTAAATAAACCTACCACATAGTTGTTTTAATTTTTTTATCAGCTGTCTAAAATTGTGAAATAGGCATTTGACAGTTCTGGTTGTTTACATTTAAATGTCAAAGCAATTGTAAACATTGTGAATTTTCTCACGCTTCCATGGAGACCAATTATTAATATTTAATTTCTTACAACAGCTGGAGTTTCAAAACAATATTTGTTTCCCATGTTAATCTTATGGAGAAATATAAAACTTTAAAGGGTCCCAAGGCCTCACTCTTTAATTATTTCCCTAAAAAGAAAGTTTCCTGCGCAACTTCACGTTACGCTCTTTCCAATGACACCAAAAACATGTCAATCGGTTCAGTAGTTTTGGAGGAGTAATTGTCACAAAAATCCTGCTTGCGTATTAAATAAGTATAGGCCTAGATGGAGTAGGAAATCGTACCTTTACAAGTTTACTGTGAATTGCATAATGAACTGTAGTTTCCATCAACAATCAAAGAACCATGACAAATACAACCAACCTTGTACAAACATGGTTTTTTATACGAAGACATTCACTAGTGCACACACCCTGTAAGTTCTTTAAAAAAGTAGGATGAGAAAGATGTTCCTGCAACACTGGTCCTAATATGTTGAATGATTTTATATGCAAATCTTTGTTAGCAGCTCACAAACAGTTTTTTGTTTTGTTTTGTTAGCGAATTTCTCCTTAGGGAAGAGGGTTTTACCATAGGTAGAATAGCTACTAGACTCGGGACAGTTTGAATCTCTTATTTTGATATGCATAGAGGCCAAAATTTGTTGGAATGTTATTTGTGTATTCAATTGGTATACAAGTCTGTAAAGTGATAACCCAAGCAATTCATTGTAATCTGATTTTTTAGTTCACCTTGTGATTTGCTTGCTGTCATGTTGTGTGTGAACGCTGAACTTTTGCCAGATTATTTACATACACTTTTTGTTGTAATGGAGTTTCAAGGAAACGTTTCAAAAGTGTTTAAAAATGTATCGAGAATCTAAGTTAGAATCTAAATGGCAATTTATCTTAAAGATTTGTGGGGAATGAAATTCCAAACTAGTTCAACTTGTTTTCTTGTAAATACATTGATGGATAATGCACAATATTTTAAGGGCAGGCAGGGAAAATAAATTTATGTTTTTACCCCCAATGTTACTAGTAAAGAGACAACTGGTAACAAGGGGCTTGTGACGGATTGAAATTGAAACTTAGCTTTGATGGTTTTGACAAATCACTAATAAAGGTATTTATTTTTTCAGTTCCTACGAAAAGCGTTATTCCAGCTAAGCCACAAACACCTAAAGGGCCGAGCATGGAATCTAGAAACAGTGTTGATAAAGGTGGGTTTGACATTTGTTTTTCATAAGTATTTGGACAACTAGCTCAATAACTGGCATGTATTGCTTACGTTTTTCATTATATAACACTCTTTGTTTTCTGAATATTGGTTCAAATTAACATTATCCACCCCTTACTTTTCCCATGTACAGTAGAGTCCCAATAATCCGAACTTCGGTAATCCAAAAGTCCGCTTAATCCAAAACCAAAAAAAATATATATATTTTCTTTTATAAAAACAAAATTTTTGGAATTTTTTTGAATTTTTTTTATTAAATTTTTGACACAGTTTTCTGTACCTGGTCAAAGTATTCTGTAGCGGCTGGGCGAGATAGACTTTTTTTGTAGAGTATTTTAGTAAATATTTCACCATTTTTGTTATTACTGTAACATTTTACATTTTTGTCTGCCAAATCATAAATGGATTTTATTAAGTGATAATGCTGCAGCCAATAGGTCTAGCCTTCAGTAATGTGAAAAACAATCACGGGCTCGTGCCTGCGAAGAAAAAAAAATAGTAAGAAGACGAAAAAAAAAAAAAAAAAAACGTTTAATCCAAAATATTCGGTAATCCGAAATGGGCCCGGTCCCAACCATTTCGGACTAAAGGGACTCTACTGTATTGTGATTACTAATTTTTGTCATTTTGTATTGTAATATGTGTTGGGACGTAGAAGAAGAAACAATTTCTCGTTCGACACAATGTGTTATTAACCCTCCGAGTGTCATGCGTCGCTGCAGCGACGCGTAACGCACTTTGTATAGTGTCGTGCGTCGCTACAGCGACTCGCGAACACTGTTTACGGCGAAGGCTCTATGACTAACTGAATCGGACTGTACTGGATTGAGTTAGGTATCGTTCTTTCCGTAATGTTCTAAGCTTTCTGCAGAGGTCTGTCTCTAAGCACTATTCATTTTAGTTCCGAAAATATTGTAGCAGACAGCTGACTGAGCTGACGTGCGTGTATTTGTAAACAGCTAGGTTACCCTCGGACCGATGACTGATGTGTTTTATTACATTTATCATTGTTTTAGTGTTAAAAATCAAAAGTAGTGATATACGTGGTGCATTATAAGAAGATTTAAGTGGTTTTGAAGTGCTGGTTGATGATCCTGAAGAAGTAGGTAGTGATATTGATGTAAATTATCAGCCAGATTCCTAGCTATGGTTGGGCTATGCATTCTTAGCTAAACGCTATGTACTGAAATCTGTTTTTTGCCCATAACTTATTTATTTGCAAATCTACTTCCTTATATTATTATATATTTGTAATCCTCATAAAATTTAGAACAAAGTGGCTATTTTCAAATATTTATATAGGCCTATAATTTATACAATTTCATTGAGCGCAAACTTTTTTTTTTTTTTTAATTTTCGAAATTATACATTTTTTTTACCTAAAAAAATTTTTTTTAAAAAATCTTCCTTATGTTTTATATATAATATTGAAGCCCAAGATTTTCCAAACAAAATGGTATATAGAACAGTATAATTAACATTGTTTTTAAGCTTCTCAGATCAGTTTTAAAAAAATCTTGCAAATGAGCAAAAAATAGGCTGACATTAAGGCCAAAACACGTGACACTCGGAGGGTTAAAATGTTTACCCAGCAATGGCCTATTATGATTCTAACTCATGTCATATCAAGTAAAATTGTTGCCCTAACCTTAACACCTAAAGCCCACACATTAATCTGTTGTACACAAGCTTAACACAAAAGCTTTAAGCTTAACGGAAAACCCAATAACAATCATAATATTATTATATTCTAAATCAATAACCTATTTCTAAGTGATATGTAGGCCTGATTAAAAATTAAATGATCAGATATTTTAATTTCCATTTCAGTAATTGAGAGCGTTATTGGACATCAGCCTCAAAGAGAAAGCACTCCTCCCAAGGATTTAAATTCTCAAGGTTTGTTATTAACAAGCTTGCCTATCCAATTTTTAATTTTTTTTTTGAATTTTTTTTTATTGGAACACTGCAAGTACCAATTAAACTGTCCTAAAGGTTAAATTGTGTCCTAACCTTAGCCATGCGTGTTTTAGATGTTTATGATTTATTTAGAAGCAGCAGATCATAAATACATCTTGACAAATTTCTTACCTCTTTTTCCCCCTTCATATATAGCTAAGGTAGTTTTTGATAAATTTTAGATGTGAGTTTGCCAATTTAATTGTGAGTTTTTGTATTCATAAATAATAAAAGGCGTTAGGAACTATAAAATTTTAGTTTAAATTTAGGGCGATCTTGCTTTTATATTGGAGAAGGAGAATTGTATCAGCTATATTTTGGATACATTGGATAAACCAGTCCTCAAGAGAATGGAGCTCTCTGGTGATGGTGAGAGAATGTCTTTTTTTTCTTTGCAAACGATTGCTGTCATCTGCACTGAAATATTGGCATTTTTTACGCACTTCCAAGGTCGTTTCCAAATAATAGGAACAAACATGGACCAAGAATTTATCCTTGAGGCACTGCAAATGGAACATCCTCCCATTCTGACATGTAATTCAGGAGGACCTACCGGGAAAACTAGGAATTATGGGTGAATTTGGATTTCTACTGGGAATTTTCAATTTAGGCCACTGCGATCACGTATTGCGACGATGAAGTTTTCATTACCGAGTAAGACAATGATGTCCACGTGGCCGGGAGGATGATGGGAATAATGCTGCAATCACGGAAAACGATAATGTGCAAACAACTGAGGAAATTTTCCAAATTTTGCTGCAATCGCCGGAAATGTTAATGATGTCCAAATGACTGCAGGATATGTTCATAATTTTACAGCGATCGCGCAAGCCGGTAATGATGTCTACACGGGTGTAACGGATGATCAGAATTTTGCCGCCATCGCGGAAGACGATGATACTGTCCTCACAACCGGCAGACATGGTTTTGACAAATCACTAATAAATAATTTCATTTTTTCAGTTTCTACAAAAAGCATAATTCAAGCTAAGCCACAAACACCTAAAGGACCGAGCATGGAATCTAGAAACAGTGTTGATAAAGGTGGGTTAGACATTTATTCGTCATAAGTATTTGGGCAACTAGCTTAATAACTTGGCATGTATTGCTTAAGTATTTTATTATATAACACTCTTTGTTTTCTGAATGTTGGTTCAAATTAACATATATTATGATATATTATCCACCCCTTACTTTTCCCATGTATTGTGATTACTAATTTTTGTCATTTTGTATTGTAATTTGTGTTGGGACGTACAAGAAGAAACAATTTCTCGTTCAACCCAGTGTGTTATTAAAATGTTTACCCAGCAATGGCCTGTTATGATTCTAACTCATGTCATATCAAGTAAAATTGTTGCCCTAACCTTTGTTTTGAAAATGTTGACTAAATTATAACTCACACTAATCTGTTGTACACAAGCTTAACACAAAGCTTTAATCTTAACAGAAAACCCAATAAGAATCTTATTATATTCTAAAGCAATAACCTATTTCTAAGTTATATGTAGGCCTAATTAAAAATAAAATGCATGTGAAAACACTCAGATATTTCAATTTCCGTTTCAGTTATTGAGAGCGTTATTGGACATCAGTCTCAAAAAGAAAGCACTCCTCCCAAGGATTTAAATTCTCAAGGTTTGTTATTTACAAGCTTGTCTATTAATTTTTTATTTTTTTTTTAAGAAATTAATTTTTTAAATTGGATCACTGCAGTTAGGCCTACCAATTAAACCATCCTAAGGTTAAATTGTGTCCAACCTTAGTCATGTGTACAAGTTTAGATTTTTTTTTATTTACTTAGAACAGGGTGTCTACTAGTCGGGAATTCCGGGAAAATCGGGAAAAAGTCGGGGATTTTGAAAGGTCGGGAAAAGTCGTGAAAAAGTAATGAATTTCGGCCGAAGGTCGGGAATAATCTAACCTTTTAAAATTAGGGATGAACGGGTCCCAAAAATTTAATTCCCAAACATTATTGAGTCAGTATTCATATACATTATTGAATCAGTATCCAAATACGTTTTTGAATCAGTATCCATATACGTTATTGAATCAGTATCCATAAATACGTTTTTTAACCAGTATCCATAATTTATTGAATCAGAATACGGTATTGAATCAATATGCATATACGTTTTTGAATCAGTATCCATACGTTATTGAATCAGTATCCAAATACGTTATTGAATCAGTATCCAAATACGTTTTTGAATCAGTATCCAAATACGTTTTAATCAGTAGTCCTATCCATACGATATTGAATCAGTATTCAAATACGTTATTGAATCAGTATCCAAATACGTTTTAATCAGTAGTCCTATCCATACGATATTGAATCAGTATTCAAATACGTTATTGAATCAGTATCCATAAATACGTGTTTGAACCAGTATCCATAATTTATTGAATCAGAATACGGTATTGAATCAGTATGCATATACGTTTTTGAATCAGTATCCATACGTTATTGAATCAGTATCCAAATACGTTATTGAATCAGTATCCAAATACGTTTTTGAATCAGTATCCAAATACGTTTTAATCAGTAGTCCTATCCATACGATATTGAATCAGTATTCAAATACGTTATTGAATCAGTATACAAATACGTTTTTGAATCAGTATCCATATACGTTATTGAATCTTCATCCAAATACGTTTTTGAATCAGTGTCCATACGTTATTGAATCAGTATCCATAAACGTAGTTGACTGTTACATTGATACTGTTACTTTGACTATCAGTATCCATATAACATATTGACACTATTAAATTATTGACATTAATTTATATAAGCTATTCACTGAGACATTGCTTAGCCATACAAGTTATTACCATCCAAGTACATGGCATACACTGAGCCATTGCTTAGCCATACAAGAAATTATGTATACCTTGTAGGTCTGATTCTATCCTCTTATTTTATCAATGTAAACCAAATGAAAGATTCAGTATAAATCTTGCAAAGGTTTTTGTTTGTTTACACCAAAACATATCTTTATATTTATAAAATCAATAAAATAAAATAGGTATCATGCTGAACAACATGATGCTGCAAGTAAAAATTATGAAATAGGCAAGAAGCTCACTGATATTTCCAGAAATACTGTTTCTTCTAATGCATGAAAACAAATATTTCATTCCATTGACAAGTATGAGTAGAAAAATGCCGCGTTGCTTCGAATCGAGTTAGGCTACATTAAAATTTGTTGCTGCTTCACACACCCCAACATTTGATATGGGATTTTTTTGGCACGTGATTTGTTTCGATCGTCAGTAATTTAGCTTTGTTGCGAGTGACAACATATGTTGACGAAGGTACCCGTGACCGCGAGACGGAAAAAGGTGTAGTAACATGGAGAATAGACCGAGTTTTTGGTCGGGATTTAAATAAAAATGGTAATGAAAAGTCGGGAAAAAGTCGGGAATTCCATTTGAGAAATCTGGTAGACACCCTGTAGAAGCAACAGATCAAAAATACATCTTGACGAATTTCTTAACTCGCTTTTAGCGAATTTCCCTATAGGGAAGTAGCTATTACCGTAGGTCTCATGGTAAGACTTAAGCCCGGGACCGATTTACTTTTTCATTTTGATGTCCCCAGAGGCCAAAAACACCATTCGTTCAAATTTTTATATATCTATATATAGAGATATATATATATATATATATGTGTCCATCCGCACGATAACTTGAGTAATTTTTGTCCGATTTTGATAAAATTTGGTTTGAAGGTGTAAAGCGGGATAAACTTGAATGAGTTCGCGAACCAGCATGATCGGACTATGGGAACGGGGGTTTATGGGGGGTTTTATGGGGTAAAAATAGGTTTTTCCCATTTTTGACCCTAAAAACAGGAAATTTCACAATTTCTTTTTAAACCATCTTGTAGAGCCTAAAAAAACAAATAATTTAGTATATTGAAGCGTTAGTATGCGCCTAATTGTTACGGAGAAAATTCAAAAAAATTGTAATTTTAAAATTCCCATGTTATTCTTATGGAGAATAAGTCAACTGTTGTAGTTTGCTTGTTTATGAACATATTTTGATCGATTTTGGAAAATACTTTTATTTCATACTAAACTTTTATCATTTTATAAAAAATCTTTTTTACCCTCCCTGTTGCAGCAAACCTAAGTACTCGTTAAACTAATTCTATTTAAATAGGAAATAAATATGCTATTTTTATGGAGGCATTTTAGTATAAATCCAATCAGGTTAATGGAAATTCGCTTAGTCTGCAGGTTTGCTGCGGCGGGGGTATTTTCTCTTCATATAGCTAAGGTAAGTGTTTTCGATAAATCTTTGATGTGAGTTTGCCAATTTAATTGTGAGTCTTTTTGTATCCCTAAATAACAAAAGGCGTTAAAAACTTTCAAATTTTAGTTTAAATGTAGGGTGACCTTGCCTTTCATGTTGGAGACAGAAAATTGCATCAGCTATATTTTGGACACATTCATGGGAAATGTCATTGACTGTAAACCAGTCCTCAAGAGAATGGAGCTCTCCGGTGATGGTGTGATGAATGTCTTTTTTTTCTCTTTGCAAACGATTGCTGTGTTATCTGCAATAGGAACAAACATGGACCAAGAATTTATCCTTGAGACACTCAAAATGGAACATCCTCCCATTCTGACATGCAATTCAGAAGACCTGCCAGGAAAACCAGCAATTATGAGGCAATTTTGTATTTCTACCTGGAATTTTCAATTTAGGCTACTGCGATCGCGCAATGCAACGATGAAGTTTTCATTACCGAGGAAGACAATGATGTCCACATGGCCGGGAGGATGTTGGGAATAATGCTGCGATCACGGAAGATAATAATGTACACACAACCGCGGCAATGAAGAATTTTGCCGCAATCGCTACAAACAATAATGATGCTTACACAGGCACGAGCGATTATCAGAATTTTGCCGCCGTCGCGGAAGACAATGATAATGTCCACACGACCGGCATACATGGTTTCGACAAATCACTAATAAAGGTATTAATTTTTTTCAGTTCCTACAAAAAGCGTTTTTCAAGCTAAGCCACAAACACCTAAAGGGCCGAGCATGGAATCTAGAAACAGTGTTGATGAAGGTGGGTTTAACATTTATTTGTCATAAGTATTTGGACAACTAGCTCAATAACTTGCTTGTATTGCATACGTTTTTTTATTATATAACCAGGGTGTCTAGTAGTCGGGAAAATCGGGAAAGTCGGGAGTTAGTATTGAATTTCAAAATGGTCTTGAAAAGTCGGGATTTAGTCTTAAATTTGATTTCAAAGTCGGGAATTTTCATGATTTTGCCGCGATCGTCGTATCGCGTTTACGTAACCGCGAAAGCCAATGACGATGATGTCTACACGGCCTCGGGAAATGTTCACGATTTTGCCGCGATAGTGGACGATGACGATGACGTTTCCGAAACCGCGGGAGACGACGATGACGTTACCGTGACCGCAGGAGATGACAATGACGTTTCCGTGATCGCGGGAGATGACGTTGATGTTTACACGGGCGAATGAAATGTTCTCATGATTTTGCCACGATCGCGGAGTACGACGATGACGTTTCCGTGACCGTGGGAGTCAATGATGATGTCTACACGGCCGCAAGAAATTTCCATTATTTTGTCGCTATCGCGGACGATAGTGATGACGTTTCCGTGACCGCGGGAAACGACGATGACGTTTCCTTGACCGCGGGAGATGACGATGATGTTTCCGTGACCGCGGGAGACGACAATTATGATTTCTACACGGCCGCGGGAAATGTTCATGATTTTGCCGTGATAGCGGACGACGACGATAACATTTCCGTGACCACGGGAGATGACGGTGATGTCCAAACAGCCGCGGGAAAATGTCATGATTTTGCCACGATCGCGGACGACGCAGATAACGTTTCCGTGACCGCGGGAGACGACGATGATATCTGTTTGGCCGCGGGAAATTTTCATGATTTGGTCGCGATCGCGGACGATGACGATGACGTTTCCGTGACCGCGGGAGACGACGGTGATGTCTAAACAGCCGCGGGAAATGTTCATGATTTTGCCACGATCGCGGACGACGCAGATAACGTTTCCGTGACCGCGGGAGACGACGATGATATCTGCTCGGCCGCGGGAAATTTTCATGATTTGGTCGCGGACGATGACGATGACGTTTCCGTGACCGCGGGAGACGACGATGACGTTTCCGTCACCGCGGGAGACGACGATGATATTTGCTCGGCCGCGGGAAATGTTCATGATTTTGCCGTGATCGCGGACGACGACGATCACGTTTCTGTAACCGCTGCAGTCAATGATTATGTCTAAACGTACGATACGCAGAAGATTTCTAGATGAAAACAACCAAATTTGCTAGTTAGAATTTTTTATTGGTGCATTATTTCTTTACTTGAAAACACCACATTATCATAATACTACTACTTTATGACAAAGACAGGGGTTGGTGTAGTATTATTTAGAAAATTTGGTTAAGCTATACAAATTTGTATCAGTATCGAGAATCGATACATTTTGGTATCAACACCCACTAATTGTTGAAAAAACTAGTCTTGAAAAATCTGGAATTAGTCTTGAAAAGTCTGGAATTAGTCTTGAATTTTATAATGGAAATAAACTAGACACCCTGTATAACACTCTTTGTTTTCTGAATGTTGGTTCAAATTAACATACATTATCCACCCCTTACTTTTCCCATGTATTGTGATTGTGATTACTATTTTTTGTCATTTTACTTTATTATTTAGGCCTATTGTAATTTGTGTTGGGATGAACAACAAGAAAGAATTTCTCGTTCAACCCAGTGTGTTATTAAAAAGTTAACCCAGCAATGGCCTGTTATGATTCTAACTCATGTCATATCAAGTAAAATTGTTGCCCTAACCTTTGTTTTGAAAATGTTGACTAAATGATAACTCGCACTAATCTGTTGGACACAAGCTTAACACAAAGCTTTAATCTTAACAGAAAACCCAATAAGAATCGTTATATTATATTCTAAATCAATAACCTATTTCTAAGTTATATGTAGGCCTAATTAAAAATAAAATGCATGTGAAAACACTCAGATATTTTAATTTCAATTTCAGTAATTGAGAGCGTTATTGGACATCAGCCTCAAAAAGAAAGCACTCCTCCCAAGGATTTAAATTCTCAAGGTTTGTTGGCTTACCTATTAATTTTTTTTTTATTTTTTTTACAATTTGATTTTTTAAATTGGAACACTTCAGTTACCAATTAAACTGTCCTAAGGTTAAATTATGTCCTAACCTTAGCCATGCGTAGATGTTTGGATTTTTATGATTTATAGGGATGGACGGGATTGACTTTTTAGTTCGGGGCGGGATTTTTATTTCCTTCCCAATTTTCAGGACGGGACAGGGCGGGATTTTTTCCTGTGCATAAAGTATTGCAGTTACAAAACCAATTTTTACCATTTGTGGCACTGATCTATAAAAACAAGAAATGGGTAAAAATTTACAGGTATAGAAACTTGTGACTTGCGTTCGAAATGACTTGCGGTCACGGCATGATCATCGGTATGACTCCGCAGTCACGACACGATCGTCAAAATGACTTCGCCTCCTGCGTTTGCGGGACTATGGTGAACATCTCTCGCGGTAGTGGTGTCATCGTCACTCGCGAAGCGGCAAAATCCCCGACGATCGGATCAAATCCTGTCCCGAAAAATAACCGAATCAAAAGTAATCCCATCCCGAATTTTCCCAAAAATTTCCCAAAATTTTGGGACTTGTCAATTCGTAATGATTTATTTAGAAGCATCAGATCATAAATACATCTTGACGAATGTCTTCCCTCTTCGAACATCCTGCCATTCTGACATGTAATTCAGGAGGACCTACCGGGAAAACCAGGAATTATGCGTGAATTTTTTATTTCTACCGGAAATTTTCAATTCAGGCTTCTGCGATCACGTATTGCAACAATGAAGTTTTCATTACGAAGGAAGACCATGATGTCCACACAGCCGCTAGGATGATGGGAATAATGCTGCAATCTTGGAAGACGATAATGTGCACACAACCGCAGAAAATTATCAGAATTTTGCTGCAATCGCGCGAGATGTTAATGATGTCCAAACGACCGCAGGATATGTTCATGATTTTACAGCGATCGCGCAAGCCGGTAATGATGCCTACACGGGTGTAACAGATCATCAGAATTTTGCTGCCATCGCGGAAGACGATGATACTGTCCTCACGACCGGCAGACATGGTTTTGACAAATCACTAATAAAGGTATTCTTATTTCAGTTCTTACAAAAAGCATAATTCAAGCTAAGCCACAAACACCTAAAGGGCCGAGCATGGAATCTAGAAACAGTGTTGATGATGGTGGGTTTTGACATATATTTTTCTTTAAGTATTTAAAAGACTACTAGCTCAATCACTTGGCGTGTATTGCTTAGTATTTTAATTATATAACATACTTTGTTTTCTGAATATAATGTGGGTTCAAATTTATATAAATTATCCACTCCTTACTTTTCCAACTAATCTATGTCAATTTATAAGTAATTTGTGTTGGCTGTTCTTAATATAAGAAGGTTTCAACTGACTACGATAAGATCCCCGTGTGTAGAACGGGCACACAGCTAGTATCAAGTAAAACTGTTGTCCTAACCTTTGTTTTAAAAACTTTGGCTAGATGTTAACACCTAAATCCCACACATTAGTCTGTTGTACTCAAGCTTAAGACAAAACCCATTAAGAATCGTCTTATATTTTGAACAATAACCTATTTGTGATATGTAGGCCTAGTTAAAAATAAAATACAAAATGTGAAAGCACTCAATGTTTTAATTTTCATTTTAGTGATTGAAAGTGTTGTTGGACATCAGCCTCAAAAAGAAAGCACTTCTCCCAAGGATTTAAATTCCCAAGGTTTGTTATTTACAAGCTTCTTAATTATTTTTTTAGAATTTCATTTTTTGTTAGGCCTATTTGAAGACTGCAGTTATTCAACCAATTCAACAGTCCTAATGTGGCAAAACTGTGTCCTTACTTTGTCCATGCGTACAAGTTTATGTTTTATTTTTAAGCAGCAGGTCGTAAATTCATTAAGACAAATTTCTTTCCTTACTTTTCTCTCTTCATTTACAATGGTGTTGGGTTGGCAAGTTCTTACAATCACTGTTATCTGAGGTACCTCTTTCACTAACATCCCACAAGTGCCGCCATTGTTTAAATCAGAAACTCTATTGTCCTTGATCAATTACAAAATGATATAGACATTGTCAATTTTCACAAGTGGTAACACTATCAACTAACCAAAGGATCTAGTAAACAACATTCAAACCTTTTGTCAAATCAGTATTGTTTATTTTTAGAGGTGTGCGGATATCCGAAAAATCGGGTCGGATTCGGTTAGCCCAAATTCGATATCCGACACTATCCGTTATATATCCAACTTTTTCGGATAGACAATATATTTTGACGTTTTGGACAGAAAACTAAATCTCCATAACCACCATTAGTTTCCCAGGACAAAATTACAGCAATACGTTTCCAACGACCTAACAGCAAACGGCAAAGAAGCCGTATGATGCAATACCGATAACTAGTTTAGTCGTTATCGGCTGTTTTGCTTTACGATTAGATTCGTCTGGAACGAACAGACATAAAGCAGAAAAGAGCTACCATGGTCAAATGAAAGTCAACTCGTGCTTGTCTCGCTCCTGATACTAGGGGCGCTGCGTAATAGTTTTTCTACAGTACTGTTTCAAAGTAGAAAAATCTAGCCTACTACTGTGATGTTACGTAAACAATAGATTTAATGTTTCCCAAAAAAAGTCAGAATAGAAACAATAGAAAGGCAACACAATAGAAGGGTGGGAGGGGTTGGTCAATGACCTCGAAAGGAGCGCGGGTAGTGAGTCAAGTAGGACCGGAGGGGGGAGGGGTGGGTAAGACCTTGAAGCTATATATAGACTTGCACTACTTCCGGCCGGCGAGTGGTATTCCAATCACAGGACAAGATACGTTGTTTTTTGGGTATTCATTGCCCGGTTTGACTTTGGATTGTCTTACTGTGTAGAAACTTTGAATAATAAAAAATAAAGTTAGAACTAACCACGATTATTTAGCATTGATTGTGTACATATTAAATTATTAAACGATAGGGACCATGGATATTTACAAACTTTTGTCGTGATTTTAATTTCATCATCAAAATACAATATTGCACAATCGTGATATTTTAGGTCATTGACCTTTATTATGCATCCGGTATTGCTGTTTCAGAAGAGAAGCACGTTGATAAATTATAAATTGATATTCTTGTAGTTAAAAAGAATTATTTTATAAACCTATAAAACAAAATTATAAAATCTTACATAAAGATAACAATAACGGAAATTGTAAAAAGGGTATAAAGATAACAACGTCGTAATTCTTTCTCTTTGTTCTTCTATTTCTTGGGTTTCCCTTCATCACGCATTCAACAAGTTGCCATGGTTACTAATCACCCATGCCGTTATCAGCTTTTGTGACATAGCGCACAGCAGGGGGTAAAACTTTGACGAAAATCGGTAAATTTTTACCTAATTGCCAATGAATGTACTACTTTATTGGTATTTGGTACTGTATTAATAATGTTCAAAATGGCAGATTTTTGTCAAATTTTACACCAAATTTATTGAAATTTCAAGGTGAATATTAATAAAACAATTATTACCAAATATTTGTATTTATTTAAAAGATTGATTTGTGGTATTGGGTTCCCCACTGAGTGCAGCCGAGCGGCACTAATGAGGGTCTGACCTTCTTGGGGGTGAACAATAGACGGCTTATCAGACCCTCCCCTCCCCCTTGGTCTGGAGAAAGCTTGTAAACAAACTATTGCACAATCGTGATTTGACATTTTGGGCTGCTTCAACTATAATTTTTTCAAATGAACTGTGATGTTTCAAAATCAAAAACAATAATTTGGGACCATACTGCTTAACAATAATGGACTGCAATTATTGTTGAACATACAATCCATTTTACTTTCTCCCCCTATACCATAGTATATGGAGAAAGTATTGTTTTCGTCAAAATTTTCGAGTTTGAGTTTTGAGTGGATATATTCGTTTTGGGTCCCCCTGGACCCAAAAAAGTGGTTTTCGAAGTGATGTCTGTGTGTGTGTGTGTGTGTGTGTCTGTGTGTCTGGATGTGTACAGAGCTAGAGACTACACCTGTGGTCCGATTTCGATTAAATTTGGTATGTAGGTTCTAATCTATGGTATCTCCAGGCGTTTTTTTCATTTTTTTGACATTTTGATTTTTAATGGGGATTTTCCCATAAAAACCCATAAAAAACCGGAAAAATCGGATTTTCTCAAAAATGGCCCGAACGATTTTGAAAAAAATTTAGTATGTTGTAGCCCTTTAAATTCTGAACAAAATGGTACAAATCCCATTTCTGTAAAAATTACGGTTCAAAAGTTATGGTAAATTATGTTATTTTCCCATAAAAACCCCATAAAATAACAAAAATTAGGATTTTAGACAAAAATCCGGTTTTGATTTAACATAGTATGTCATGGTCCTTACAATTTTGATATTTTTTTAATTTTTTTGAAATTTTTATTTCTAATGGGGATTTTCCCATAAAACCCCATAAAATAACGGAAAAATAGGATTTTCCCAAAAATGGCCCGAACGATTTTGATATAAATTTAGTATGTTATAGTCCTTTATATTCTGAACAAATTGGTACAAATCCCATCTCTGTAAAAATTACGGTACAAAAGTTATTGTAAATTATGTTATTTTCCCATAAAAACCCCATAAAACAACGGAAAATCAGATTTTCCCAAAATTGTCTCGAACGATTTTGATAACAATTTAGTATGTTATAGTCCTTTAAATTCGGAAGAAAATTTTATAAATCCCATTTCCGTATATTTACTCTCACCGCTTACACATGATAAAGGTTGTTGACAAACTTATGGGAGAAAGTATGTGTCAGAATGCTGATACCGTTTATTTAACAAACTAAGATTATAATTCAAATACAATTATAAAGATGATCTTGGTATTTTAATTGGGGTAATGAAGTTATGTAGGCTAGTGTAATTCTCGGTTCATCAAGGTTCTACTGAATTATGTTTGGCAGTGAATAAGTGTAGAATGCAATTTATAAATTCAGGGATACACACCTTTTACACAGTTATAAAGTCTAATTGCCCAACATCAAATCGTGAGCTAGAGCCAATTTAGTGCATTAGTGATGTTTTATAAACTTGGCAAACCCGCAAAATGCCACTTAAGGCCAATAATCCGTTCCAAAAACGTAAGGAAATACAATGTAATAAACTTAAGATCGAACTCCTTGGCTTGTGAGAACCAGGAAACAAGATAAAACATAACCTCAAGTAAACATGCCCAAACGTTTGACATCAGTCCTGCTGAGATAAGGTGTTGTGTGAAAATTTCGGCTGTACTTTACTTAATTCAAGCAACCAACTTTTGAAAATAAATGTTGTGAATTGTGATTTTCAAGAGAGAGAAAACTGTGGACTTGGCTAATTTGAAATTCTATAGTTCAAAATCGTCATTTAAGTTTATTTACACACAGCTTTACATTGTTTTATAGGTTAAAAATACATATGCAGCTTATTATTTACCGCGCCAAACTATCCGAATCCGAAAATATCCGAATCCGAACCTCCCAATATCCGATCCGATCCGAACCGAGCCTCAACTATCCGATCCAAATCCGATCCGAAATGAAATTTCACTATCCGCACACCTCTATATTTTCTTTCCCCAATTAATTTTATTGTATTCTGAAACGTTTTTAATATTGACGGCTGGTGGCATCAAGCTACATTTGATTATTTTTAGTAGTCAAATGTAATTGTGCCTTAAAAGTCTTATAGGTGTTTTGGTTTCAGAGTTGTGCCAAGTTGTACCAAGTTCCTCAAGCGTCAAACGCTCTTCAGTCTCAACCAGTTTGAGTAAGTAGCTTGAGACGTTCAAATTTCGAAATCAGTTAGCTACTGATACAAGTACTTATTTTGATTATTTTAAATGGGGGCACAACTCTACCCAAACAAGAGCACAGAATGAAATGAGCTACCTTGTGTAGCTTTGTTCCATAAGATTAGGTGACTCTTTAGACAGCACATCCATGCTGAACACAAATTAAATCACTTTGGTAAAAACTACTCAGGCTTAAAATGGTTCAAAATGTAGGCTACCAAACACAACCAAAAAACCAGCCGATCACTCTTTTACAATAATAATAAATTTATGTAGCTTATCGAGAATTTCTAGATCTTAATTCCATGTTTTTGGTGCTGGGAAACATAAAGGTTGAACCTCGAGGCGTAGGAGCGTTTAAATTTTAAATGAGTTATTTGAAATGTGCTCAGATTTAACATGGAAATTTGTTCCAGATGATTCCCGAACAAAGACCAGTAGAGTGTCTAAGATCTCCCAAAGGCCATCTACTTTACCAGTTGTACCGGAGGAAACTGCTGTGCAAGGTATGTAGAGGTTTGTTTGGCTTGTAGAGGTATTCTACTTGAAAAAACCCAAGTTTTTGCCAAATGTAAAAGAAAATATTGTTTTTGTTAATTTAAAATCAAACAGAGCCATTGACACCATCTTAAAGAGAAAGTTAAAACAATTAATTTATCATTTATACTCCTTTTTATTGCCTCGATGAGCTGTAACTGTATAATTAATTTTTATTCTACATGTAAATAAAAACTTTCACATGTATTACTATGATAGAATAAGAAGTTGAGTTCACCATATGATATTCCTGTTGTACCTCTGGCCGAGTTTGATCAAGGTTATTATGCATTGTTTTGTAATGCTAAATTTAAATAATTCAAAAATTGGAGGGAAATGGAATTGCTTCAAACGGCCTAAATTTTGTGAACGGAATTTAACTATTTTTTAACAATCCCTAGCAAAGGAAATTAGCTATTACTGAGAGCTTAGTTGCTCAAATTTTGAAATAAAGCTAGAAATACCTCCTTAACTCCCGCTCTTTTAAAGTCAATTAATCACTCTCAAGTACTTTCCCATCCCTTTTTTATTTTATTCGTTTTAATCATTACACTACATCCCGATTAGGCTGTTTAAAATATTTACTTACAACTACATCCGACTTTCTATTAATTACTTTTTTTACCTTTGATAGTAACTTGGTAGTGAGCCATTGATCGTCTTGATATAAACTAAACTAAAGGCCTATATTTAAGAAGTTGTTTTTGTAATGTTTTTTTTGTGCTGTATTGCTGGATTTATTTGTGCTAATTAGTACAATAACAACTAGTCAAGTGTTTGTTTATCCAAAATAATGCTTAACTATAACTTCATGTAATTAAAAAATATATATTTTTACATCTCACTTTACCACTTGTATTTATCTTAGAATTGTATACATAAGAAAAACAAAATACCCCCGCCTCAGCAAACCTGCAGACTAAGCGAATTTCCATTTCCCTGAATGGATTTACACTAAGTCTCCTTAAAAATATCACATTTATTCCCTATTTAAATAGAATCAGTTTAAAACATACTTAGGTTTGCTGCAACAGGGAGGGTAAAAGTGTTTTTTATGTAAAATGTTAATATAGTTAGTAAGAAATAAAAACATTTTCCAAATTTGGGCAAAATATGTTTATAAACAAGCAAACTACAACAGTTTACTTATTCTCCATAAGAATAACATGGGAATTTTAAATTTACAATTTTTTGGAATTTTCTCCATAACCATTAGGCGCATTATAACGCTTCAATATACTAAATTATTTGTTTTTTTAAGCTCTACAAAATAGTTTCGAAAGAAATTGCAAAATTTTATGTTTTTTGTGTCAAAAATGGGAAAAACCCATTTTTACCCCATAAAAGTCCCCATAAACCCCCGTTCCCATGGTCCGATCATGCTGGTTCGCGAACTCGTTCGAATAAACGTAGGTTTACACGTTTGTACCAAATTTCATCAAAATCGGATCATTTTTGCTCGAGTTATCACGCTAACGGACACATATATATATATATATATATATATATATATATATATATATTAATAAATAATATGTAAAATAACATGAGTACCCTTTTTTTTTTTTTTTATATAATATAATATATATATATATATGAATTTGAACGGATGGTGTTTTTGACCTCTAGGGACCTCAAAACGAAAAAAAAATCAGTCCCGGGTCCAGGTCTTACCGTGAATACTACGGTAATAGCTTATTCCCTATATGGGAAATTCGCTAACAACAGAAACACTGATTTTTATTTAAAATACAAATTTCTAACTTGAGTAGATGAATAAGAAACAATAACTTATGTTGCAGGCACTTCACAAGTTCCCGGAGAAGACATTTTTAAACATTCTAAAGCTCAGAGTGGCTGGCTAATCCCGAAAGAAACGCAAAGCCGAATATCTCTCAAAAGGAAATCTAGCGTTCCAGTGACGATCACTAAAAGAACCAAGAAAACCAAAACCAATCAAGAAGAGGACGATGCAAGTTTATTTGACAGTCCAGAACTTCCTAACCTTTTGGAAACTTCATCACTGGTAAACAGAAGGAAGACACATGTCCTAAAAAAGAAACCTGTAACCCCTGAAATTCTAGAAGAGCACCGAGAAAGTTTAACCTATGGTATTATTTCGTTGGATGATCTAAATGTAATAAAAAACACCGCATCTGATACTGTTGAAAAAGGATTAGAGGTCAAATCACAAAAAACTGCACCTAAAACCTCACAGAAAAAACCTTCTAGAAACCAATTAGAAGAGGAACTTGATGTAGCAACAAACTCAAGAGGGAAATTATCTAACAATGTTGCAGGAGAAAGTAAACTTGTCGAAACAAAGGAGCTATCCCAAGGCAAGAATGTAACAGGCGTAGACAGTAAGAAAAGTGAGGTTGAAATCAATACTTCAAAGAGTGATGGCCAAAAAAAGGTGAAAACAGTAAAGAAAACTGTTAAGAGATCCAACCGTGACTTGAATGTTGAATCTTTGGAAAATATCACTAGACCCAAGAGAACATTGCGTGAAAGAAAGCCCAATATCATTTATGAAGATAATTCTGTTATTGCTCAAGGAGAAAAAGAAAATATGCGAGGTAAGAAAAGAGAACCAACAATAAAGTCCAGTCAAGAAGTTACAGAAGCAAAACCTGTAGCAAGTTCTGTCATTAAGCCTTCTGCAAAGAATAAGCAAAAGAAGAACAATATAGGCAAAGAAAACACACCACAAACTGGTACCAAAACATACGATAGTGAAGTCAGTTTTGAACTTGAAGAAGAACATGATGAAAAGGATGTTTTGAAAACGTATAATAATGCTGATGCTCAAAAAGAAAACCCCAAGATAAAGGGTCGTAAAAAAACTGTGGGGAACACAAAAACTGCCAAAACTAAAAATAAATTAGCCTCTAAAACTTTAGATGAAAATAATTCAGAAGCGGGTGCAAAAGAAAAAGAAATTTCGAACCAGAGCGGTATTACACAGGGAGTGACAGCTGTGAAGTCTACGACTACATCTGTTAAAAGGAAAACTCAATCTAAAAAACAAACCTCACTTGCAAATGATCTGAACCAAAGAAATGAAGAAATTGAAGCTGCACATGTTTTGATTGATGTTGAAAACAGAGAGTTTATTTTGCATGGCGAAAGCTCGTCCAATATTGCTTTTACTAACAAAGTGAAAACATCTCTACCTTCTGAAAAGAAACGTGTACAAACATCGGTCTCCAAAAAACATTCTGCCGCAGTTACTGGTGAAGATTTGAATTCAGCTAGCAGCCCATCAAAGAGTGATGTGGGCAAGCAACAAAGTGAATACGAAGTTGAAACTAGTCCTAAAACTGTCGAAAGAAAGAAAAATTCTCAACACCAGTCAAAAGTAAAACCAAAGAGCGGAAGTGTTTCTGAACGTGCTGATGATAAAACCAACAAGCTGGTCCTTGAAACACAGTCCTGTGTTTCTTCCTCCACTGGGGCGAAACGAAACACCGAAGATACAGGGTCTGGCGATTCTCATTCAGGTAGACCTAATCTTATTCTGGCAATTTTTATTTCATAGGTAAAGATGAACTAGCAAATGGGGATTTCTATTTATTATTTAAAGGCAGTTTTTACTGTTGAACTTTTTATCTTAGGTTTCAGTTTGTAATTTGTATGTTTTGAAAAATTCTATACTTGGCTAAAAAATCATCTAAATATAATTGCATATTTGAAACTACGAGATTGTGTCAAATGAACCTTAAAGCTTCATTAATTTCAGACCAATTGATTAAGCAGTCTCTTTACAACGAATTACAAGAAGATACAATTTGCACATTTTAATAGAGTTGAAGGCTGGTTTCCGAGGCATAACGAATAACGCAATTCCCTTTTACCTTGCAAAGCTTATACCTTGCCAAGATATCCACTTAACTACCCAGACAATTATGCAACTTATTCTGTTTTACTTTTATTAGGATACATTTTATGAGTTAGCCATTGTACTCTCAGGATAACCTAGGTCTACATTATTATTGAGAATTCATTAAATATTGGTTTTATAGAGTCTCGTTTCTATTTTCGGAAACGAATACAACACCCAGTCGAGTTTTGGAAGACCCAAACCTTCAGTCAAACATCAAACGAAAGTTGTTAGTACCTACTTATGATTTTAGGCATGGTATGAGCATGGTAGAATTTTGTAGCTATAAGTCCCATTTATAGAAAAAATTGCCAATATTTTCTTCAAGCAGAACATAGTAACTGTTATGAGTCTTTCTTCATACAGTGTGCTACTGTAAAGATTATTTTTCTCCAAGTTTTCTAAAATCGATGATATCAAAAGATGCAAGATTTCTACAATAATTGTAGGGTTGTTGAATCCTTTTAGTTTGGCATGATTGTAGAGTTATTTACGACAGAAATCAGTACTATCCAGCAGAAAATTGGTGTTAGTGGCTAAATTTAACCAAGTTTTTTGTTCTAATATACATACATACATACATATATCCTCTACCACTCCGATTATCTTTGGGTCTGGGTGTTCATTAGGCCTCTTCATCTTCTGTCCTTCCACAATTCCACTTCCTTCACATACTGCCATTGTGCTCCTCTTCCTTCCACAACACGTTTCACCTCGTCAAACCACCTTCCTCTGGGACTTCCTTTTAGTCTTCTTCCAAAGTTCAAAGTTCACTCATTCATTTCAGGATTCTTTCATTCTCAATTCTTATGTGGCCAAACCATCTCAATCTCGTCTTCTCTACTCGTTCTCTCATATTTCCTTCAACTATTCCTCTTCTCATCTCTTCATTTCTCATTCTGTCTAAACTTGTTTTACCTTTTATCCCTCTTATAAACTTCATCTCCCCTGCCTGAACCCTACTCTATTCCCTCTCTGTTATGTCCCAAACTTCAGCACCATAGGTAACTATCGGTATATAGTACGTTTTGTACATGGTAACTTAGCTTTCTTTGGTATAACCTTATCCTAGACTAGATGTCCAATACTTTGGTAAATTCCTGCACCTTTCGTCAGTCTCGCCGTCACCTCTTGCGCCATGCTTCCATCGTTCGAAATCACCGTCATTAAACATGTAAATTTTTTAACCAACTTAAGTGGTTTTCGTCCTACTTTTAAAGGTTGTTCCAACACCTTCTCTTACAATCACCATCACTTTACTCTTTTCCTTACTTATTCTTAGTCCCTTCTCTCTCTCTCTCTCATAACCTCCGCCCATTTATTCAGTTGTCTTTGTAACTCTCTCCTTCATTTCTCCCCACAGCATTTTATCATCTGCAAACATCATAGTTCCCACATTTCCCCCAACGTCCTCCACACTCTCCACATTATTTCCATTAGGCGGGTTACACACCGGTATCTCCGACATGATGTCGCAGATATTTTTCGTACCTGCGACATGCCCCTCGAAAACCAACCTATGTTAACTTATGGAGCTTTACACACCAGTGTCGCAGACACGTTGCCTGCGACTCGTGTCGCAGACGCGTGTCTCGAGCGAACCAACTTGTCGGTGTTTGGACAGACATGTCTCTTGTCTCTTGGGCCAGCGCATGCGCAGAACACGTTTCTAGTAGTTTTGGAACTTTTTTACTTACCTAATTGCCTTATGGTGTGAAATGTAGTATTGTGATATTATAATACTTAAATTGACACCATAAGGAAATTACGCAAGTACTGTAATTAGTAATTACTCTAATACAATTAATTGCAATGTATTTTGGAAAAATTACCATGAAGTTATCTTTAACGTTTTTGTAGCAAGAACAACAGCAACAACATATCATTTTCTTCTGACAATTACATGATTTAAACTGATGAATGTTGTGATTCCTTCACTTTCATGTCGCCAGCACGTGCCTCTTCCCATGGTTGTATTTTATTATATGTTGCAGACATCATGCCCGCGACATCAGAAATATCGGCGACATTATATCTGCGATACCGGTGTGTAACCCGCATTACTGTACCACATTAAACAAAATCGGTGACAAAATACTTCCCTGTTTCAGTCCCTTCCTTATATCAAACCAACTGGTATACCCTGCAACTAACACGTCACTTGTGAATCCTATACAATTCTGTAATCCACCCTGTGTTATTTTTTCCCATTCAAAATTCCAATACCTTTCAATCTATCCCAGATGGCAGTTCTCTTCAATGAGTCTAATATGTATGGTCATAATATAAAACTGGCTTTTTACTAACATGGGAACAAGGTTAAAGTGCATGAGAATGTTGCCCTTGACGCTCGTACTCGATTGCTTAGTCATCTGGGAGCCCTCCCAGAGTGCAGCTTGTTGTGTGTAGTCTTAAGATATTTTGGTTTTAGAGTTTAATTGTTTAGTTATTGAGTTGAATTACTGGGCCATGCTGTATTTTACTATTTAATTTTGTTATTAATTACAGTTTTGTTTATATAATAATAATCCAAACTATGGCTGTGATTGGCTCTGAAGTTTTTATTTCCCTTGTTGAATCAAAAGTTGTGTTACGAGACAAAATAGTTAAAACACTTTCGTTCGTCATTCCTCAGGTCTTAAAATAATGTTTTAAACATCGCCAACTCCTCATGTTCTAAATTTATTGGATACACCCAGTGGAGACGGTCGCGTTTCTTTTTCTCCACCGGTAAATTATCAAAGCAGCAATAATTTGCTTGTGATCCATACTACTCAACACCTTCCACTGAAATATCAATATACTCTGTTCTGGTGCTGTGGGGGGTTCGGATTTTTTAATCTTCCGATTACAAATCAGATATTGTGTGAAAGCAACAGACCCAGGATCATCTACCCGTACGATTAACACTCGCACGAGGGAAATCGTATAGTGTGAAAGGAGCAATAGACTAATAAAGACTGAAATGCATATAAATACCATAGTAATGTAGTTATCCTTGGTGATTTTTTCTTACTAAACCGCTTTTAATTGCAATAATTAGTATATTTTATTTCAGAACAATCACTTAAGAACGCTTGATGCATTGCAATTTTAATCACATAATTTATCACATTTTTTAGGTCAGCTATTGTCATCTAAAAGACGAAAAAAACAAGAAGAGAATCTCAATAACTTGCACCCAAAATACAGTAAGTTTGGTACGGTAATGTATTTCCACAAGTTTAAATTGGTAGAAGTTTTCTAAAGCTTTTTTAGGTTTATTTTTATAGAACGCTATTAATAAATTTATTTTCATTTATTAGATCTAGAGGACTGTGTGGTTATGTTTTAATACAATTCATTTTGAATGAACAACTAACAACTAAGACGATTGTGGTTATGTAGCAACGTAAAACTACCTGGTACCAAATTGCGTGTTTTACTGTAGTAACGCTCTTAAACCTACAAATTGGCATCGATGGTTTGGAGTTAATTTGACACTTTCATAAACAATCAAACACTATCATACCCAAAAGTGTGGGTATTTATAACTAGAGTGGTCTGCCATTACACTTCATAAATGAGCGAAGCATTATTTAAAGATTGTCAATGGCTAAAGCAGCTAACAACCTACAATATGTTCCCTTCCAACAGATTCACCGTTTGTTTGCCCGATATTATTTAAGTTCTAAAGAATGACAAATTTATCTGATAGTTCATTTATTTAAGAATAAGAATAAGAATTAACAAAAGGTTATTAGACATGTGTATTTGACATTTCGTTTAAACGGTCAAGAGCTTCTTTCTTCTTTGCCCAAGATCCGTGTCTGTTAATTGACATCAATCGGTCTAGTGAAAATGGTGGATCCAGAAGCAGGCATTCAAATGTCTTAACTCTTGATAGGCCTACGTAGGACAAAGCCATATTCTGAAGATCCAATGTCCACAACAGCTTGGTCCACAGTTATACCTTGTGCTTTATGTATTGTTAATGCATACGCTACTTTGAGTGGAAATTGTTTCCTTACACAAGATAAGTTGTTTTTTTTTTTTTTTTTTTTTTGAAACTTTGGATAAAAATAGGTATTTCACCTTCATTTAAAGTGGGTCCATTACATTTATTAAATTCCACCATAATACATAACGGAATATCTGACATCGGAATGTGGTTTTCTAATATATATGCGGTAGAATTTATATTTGTTCTACAATCGTCAGGTCAGTTAATTCGTTCGGGACACTTGACACATCCATATTATTTAACGCCGTGAATTTAGTTGCATTTGAACGACAACGCGAACAAATCGGTGATTGGTTTGAAGCTGTTAGTTTTTGGCGATGACAGTTAGTGCAAGTGTAAAATTTTAGTGCATCTAATTCATGTTTGAATTGATTAGCTAACTGCCTATCATTATCAGCTTCTTCCGCCACTACTTCGTCTGGTTCTTCTTGTTCACAAGGCCACTCTCTTACAATATTTGCATTATTGGTGCGACGACCAATATTACGACGTGGCCTTTGAGGCATGCTCAAAACAAATATAGCAAAACTGTTACTTCCATTGATAAACTGTTACATTTAAACTTTAACCTAGGATAAAAGTAAACATTGAAATGTAAACAAAACAGTTACAAACAATTAACATATGTTTATCTTATTAAAATGAAACGAGATAAACCCATATGTCTTAAGCCCAATATAATTTTTCTTTCAACTTACATTAAAATAACAAGCGAAATTGTGTGGCCTGTAAAATAAAATCCAGAAGGAAATTTGCAAATATTTTTTTACCAAAACATTGTGCTCAGTATTATTTAGCTGTTGGCCAAATTTCATATCAATTGGTCAAGCCATTACATTCTGATGCTCTTACAAAGAAGTTACAAAGTGAGGGAAAGTGAGCTTCGCTCAAAAAGTATAAACAGCACTGTTATGCATAGTTCATTGGATTTGTCATATTATTATCTAATTGAGGAAAAGATTGTGGCCATCACTGTTTGATTAGGGTACAATTTATCACGGGATATGGTGAATTACAAACTCAAACTTTCAAAAAATACCCATGCACTAACATTTGAATATTTTTAAAGTGGTTATTCATGATTGATAATACTTGACCGTCGATTTTTATAGATTTTATGAAAGACCAACAATAGTAATCAGTGAAAAAACTATAAAAAATTATATCAGCATAGCCTAAAAAGGTTTAAATTTTGTACAGAAGTGTAGGCCTACATATGTGTATACAGGGTGGAAAAAAGTCCTGGGACAGTTAAATATTTCAAAGAGTAAAAAAGATAGAGCTTCAAAACTTGGTACACAGTTACTGGGCGTTAAAATCATTTAAACACATTATTCAGTGATACACTATCTCCTCATGGGGATGGCCCGCAAGGAGTAAGAAGAAAATCTTAAATGTAAGCACTACTTGAGATAACAAACAACTCTCAATTTCAACAAAAATTAAAATTTTGGAAAAACCAATTATCATGATCATGATGGTTTTCATTTTTTTATGTGGTTGGTATACACATCATTTTAAAGGCCTTTACTGGTAGAATACAATGCCGCAGATTTGAACTCAAACGGACAACCGAGTCAAAAATGGCATTCGTAAAAAAATTTCTTGTATCTGCCATTTTGAATTGGACAGCTGCCCTTTTTAACTCAGTTGTTATTTTGAGTTTAAGTTTGTGGCATTGTGTTATAGTAGAGGCCTTTAATTAGATGTGCATGTCGGACTTTTGCATAGGTTTTATATTTTCTTACAACTTCTAGCAGGAAGTTAAAGTATCATTGCAAATTCAATGCATCTTTTGATAGCTGTCATTTTAAACTGTATGAATTTGGCTCCCTAAAATATCAAATCAAATAAGTGTATGTGTTAGTAGCAATTATTTGATGAACCAAAAAATGCACATAATACAGATACTACATTTCTATTTAAAATCAAAATACAAATTATAACTTGTGTGTAGCGTGTAGCTGATAATTAAAAATAGTCAGCTATGAATGCAAAATTTTCTAGTACTGATTGTAAATAAATAGCTCGCTGGTACAGTCCTATTAAGCGTATTTTAACACATTTTGTTTTACAGACATAAATAATTTGTTTGGGAATCAAAAACCGACAGCACAAGAGTTGACAGAGGGAGTCACAGCGTTGAGACACATTCACATCGCTGACTTCTTGATGATGGGAGTGGTCACATTGGAACCTGGAGCAGTCCTTCGCAAGATATCCACCAACACGGTAAATTTTTCAAAACTGAACAGTTAGGAGAGTGTGAAGACACATCTTAGAGTCCCTCTGTGTACACGAGGGTGCTAATTTGCTTTATTAGTGCTAATTGATTAAAGCTACGTGATTAATTAATAAATTAGCCACGTGTAAACGCTCCATAAGGAAAAATAGTAACTAGCACGCTAGTATTTTACTCGCTGCTAGTCGCTTTTATTATGTAAGTGGAGATGGTAGTCATGTGACCACTAGTGCTAGCGAATTAGCGCACCACTAGCGGGTTTTGTGCACCTTTAGGAGAGTGCTAGTGCTAATCGCCACTCGTTAAACTAATATTTTTTTTACAAAATGTGTTTGATAATACAGTAATATTTTGATTAAAAGAAATCCGTTGTATTTTGTTCTCTAGACACTAACAAACTTCTTTATGGTAAAATTACCTTCCAGTTCTATGTTTTTCAGGCATACACCGTGGTGGATGGATGCGCATGTGTGACCATCAACAAAGTCACCAAATATTTTGAAGCAAAGGATGTAAATAGAAGATTCTTCATCCCTAGAAGTGAGTAGTACAATAGCGTAGCATTGATTTAGGTAGATTTCTCATATAATCTAATCATATAATAATAATTAGTTTAATAGTGATGTATGGCCAAAATCTCAAAACCCAACCCAAAATTTTAAATATCAAATCTTTAATATTGATAACTAAACGGGAAACTATTTTATTTCTCCGATTAAAGATATGAAAAATATAGGTAGTACTAGTAAGCTAAAAAAGCTGATACATTTTTTTAAACTGGGAATACAATTAAAACTGAATAAATCAGACCACTGACCATGACGTAATAACTGGAATATGTATACAGTATGACTAAATGCCCACTAGGCCTATAATAACTAATGCTTCATATATATAAAATAGCGGTTATAAAATAGTGGTATAAATAGCATTGAAGTATATTTAATGACTAGCTGTCCCACGGGCTTTGACCTGTTTGACTTCATAAGCATTAATAAAACTATTGATTGTCGTAACGGGTTGGGCGGAATTTTGAGTGGCTTTTCATGGTTACTTCGAAGAACAACATTGGAATTAATAAGCTGTCAGAGAGTATTTGGGCCCTAGGAGAGTATTAAAATAAAAATGACTATCTCCACTAAGCCTAGTGTTATATTGGCTATATTCATGGAAAAATCAGCTCTATTGGTCAATTAGTTTTCACATTATTGACATACTTCTAACATTCATATCTATAATACTTTCATCCAAATCGTTGACTTGATCAGTAATGCAATAAAATTATTAACTCGCTACTTTGTTTCCCAGACATTATGATTACTTTGGACACGATACTTTTTTATAAAAATTAGAAAAAAATAAAGTCAATAAGTTGATGAATTATGCACTTAAAAATAAAATTACCCTATTCCCACAACAATAGACAATAGACAATTTCTTTATTTACATAATTCATAGAGAATAGTAATGCGTTAAAAAATTTTTGATGGTTAACTTAAAACAAAAATTTAGTATTTGACAGTTCTACTTGTGTATCACAGCTTTTTGTTGCTGCATTGTTCAAATTAGCTGTTACCATAAATTCAAACCAAAATTTAATAGTGCTGCTGCATCCTGTTGGTAAACCATGCAACTTCATAATGCTATTGAACATCGTAGAACCAAACAGCTGGTAAGATTAATTAATCCTATACTCTAATACGAGCAATGTTTGCTTGTATGTATGCTTGCTTGCTTGCAGAAAGATCTCGAAAACGGCTCCGACGATTTTCTTCAAATCTTGTAAATAGTTTATTTTTGGCCTAAAAACAAGTTTCATGCAGTTAGAACTGCCAACAAAAATCTAATTACGTAGAAAAACGAAACTGAAAGTCACATTTTTTTAACATTAGTCTTATGGGTTGCTAAGTAACCATGTTGGTTGAATTAAATAACAAGGAAAAGGTAAACAAAAGACTTGAAGTTGTAGCACGTGTTCATAATAAACCAACTACCCACAGTATACTTGCAAATTACAAATACAGTACAAAAGGAAAAACATCACTTGTTAATATTGAGCAAAGATTATACCAAAGATTGATTATACTTAAGATTACTCGAGACATTGTAGTCAAGGGTAGCAGTGCGAAGTCTAGCATCTGTTTATGACGAATACATTAAGGTATCTGCAATCCTAAAATGCTATGGGAAGGGAAGGAAACAGGTCTGTGACGTAGGAAGTAGTGAAGGAAGTAGTAAAGGCAATCATAAAATGCTATGGGAATAGAGGGAAACAGGTCCGTGACGTAGGAAGTGATGAAGGAAGTAGTCAAGGCGAGTTGTCCGGAGTGTGGGAACTGTTTATGACGATTAGATTAAGGTATCTGCAATCTTTAAATGCAATGGGAAGGGAGGGAAACAGGTCCGCGACGTAGGATGTGGTGAAGGAAGTAGTCAAGGCGAGCTGTCCGGAGTGTGGGAACTGTTTATGACGATTAGATTAATGTATCTGCAATCTTTAAATGCAATGGGAAGGGAGGGAAACATGTTTGCGACGTAGGAAGTGGTGAAGGAAGTAGTAAAGGCGATTAGTATGGAGTGTGGGAACTGTTTATGACGATTAGATTAACGTATCTGCAATTCTGAAATGCTATGGGAAGGGAGAAAAACAGGTCCGCTACGTTGGAAGTAGTGAAGGAAGTAGTCAAGGCGAGCTGTCAGGAGTGTGTGAACTGTTAATAACGATTAGATTAAGGTATCTACAATCTTAAAGTGCTATGGGAATGGAGGGAAACAGGTCCATGACGTAGGAAATGGTGTAGGACGTTGTAAAGGCGAGCCGTGTGGAGTTTGGGAACAGATTTATGTATCTCCGATACTAAGACTGCTTTCAGAGTGAACTAATGATTTTCTCCGAGCAAAGCTCGGTCCCCAGGTACTTCCTTTTAAATGTGAAAAATCATAATGTTAACATTATCAATTATCAATCATTGAGATGGGGACGCAACCAAGGTGCGTATTTTAACCCAAATATGAGTGAAGGATGAGTGTAGAATGGTGTGTGATGATCTGTGTAGCTATTGGAAACTCCTGAGCCACTTAGGCAGAGCCCAAAAGTCTGGTCAGAATAAAAACTACGTAGTTTTCCTTAATGCCTAAAGAATCAGTGTACCGTATTTCAGCCTCCTAGGTTAATGGGAAGTAAGAGAATTAGTGATAAGTGAATGAGTCTGTCAGTCAGACAGTCAGTGAGGGCTTTGCATTTTGTGTGTTTCGATTAATTCATAATTGTTTCCAGCTGTTCAGTAATTAATTTGTTAATTAATTGCTCTATTTTTCAGATATTGATGTTTCCATCACCAACGAGAAGGAAGTTCCTTTGAAAATGGATTTCGTAAAGTTTAAGGGAGAGCCTTATTAGTTGTCTTTTTTTGTATTCTGTAAAATATTGTAAGTAGTGTTAGTATGTTGTAGTGTAAAGCTATTAAAATCGTATTAAAATGAAAAACTGTATTTATAAATTAGAATAGTTATATTGTTCGTGTTTGTAATACTTTAAGTATTACTTTTTTTATTACTTTGTAACCAATGAAATTAATTTAAATTTGTCAAGTCTCACTTTGTTTCTATGTTTGAGATGTGTTTGTATCGTGCTAAAAATGTATATGTCAGTATTTGTGAAAAATGTTATGATATTCTACAAAACAGAAATACTTGTACTTGTTTAAAATTGTTGCTAGTCTGTGTGGTTTTGGAAGGCTTGAATAAGCTATGTGACAGACCATTTTATGATTCCATTTTATAATTTTGTTATTTGCTGTATAGTTGTGCAAATTGGTCCATCGTTATATTTGTTCATTCACTGCTCAAGAATATTTTCTAATGTCTCCTAAAATGGAATTAGTTAAATTTAAGTTATGGTGAAATGACCTAAATGAAAAATGGTACAAACAAGATTGCTGTGTTGGTGGATTTATACAAGTTTTGGGAAAATGTTTGTTATAGGTTTGTTTAATATTGTGTTGTTGTTAGAATGCGGTAGCTTTATTATGAAATGTAAGTACAAAAGCTTAGCGTTATCAATGTATAAATGTTAAATCTGTAAAGTTTTTATTTTATCATCTTAGTTTTAGGATCTTTACACAAAATAAATGACATTGATATTAATGTAAAAGATGTGACTTTTCATTTGAAAATATAATGTTTTTAAATATTTTTGATATAATAATGCCATTAATTTTTTACACAGTTTGCGTCGCTGTTATTTTTATGTTGAAGTTCTTAAACGCTTATAAACTCTTTAACAAAGATATATATTTTGTAATGTTCTTTATACTGTAATCCTTCTAAGTTTTTCTACTTTATATTACCTGAAAGCACAAAAATACGTCAAATAGCACTTATAATAATATATTTACATTTACACGTATACTGTTACTCACAAGACGGTAAATACATATACAAGATGCGAAGTGGTGATCGATTTCGATTGGATACTTCAATCATCATCAGACCCAATAGGTGAATAAGTGTTATTATTTGACTATTTATTGTGCTTTCAGGTAATTTAATAACACGTGCGATGCTGATCAAAAAGTTATTTACTTAAAATTCCCTTGTAAAACTAATTATCTTCATAGTTCATAGGTGTACAAGAATTTTATTATAATTATTGAAAAACCTAAAGAAAAAATTAGTGACACTTTTTGTTTCAATAAGGTACTGATCAGTTATCTGTTTTTTCTGTATTCGCATGGCTCAATCTCATGGCTGGTTGAAGTTGTATCGCTACGCTCACTCACCTTTAGGTTGGAGCTCGTTCGCTACGCTCACTTGCCTTCTGGTTAGCTCATTCGATTCGCTAACTCGCCTCCAGGTTAAAGTTTGTTTGCTACGCTCACTCACCTTTTGGTTACAAATTAGCTGTTGTCATAAATTTAAAAAAATAGTAGTGCTGCACCCTGTTGGTAATCCTTGTAACATAATGCTATTAAACATCATAGAACAGAACCAACTTGTTTAATTGAAACAGCTGTTAAGATTCATTAATTCCTTTTAAATATGAAAAATCATAAGGTTAACATGGGAAACTCCAGAGCCACTGTGGCGGAGCCCGAAAGCCCGATCAGAATAAAAACTACTTTACGGCTAGGCCACTGAGGATGCCACTTCATAGTAAGGGCAAAACGTCTGGCAGTGAAATACAACTGAAGATGCGGTTGACGCCGAAAACCATAACCATGGATTTCAGTGACACGGCCGCGAAAGCCTACGCATGAAAAAAATACCCCCGCCGCAGCAAACCTGCCGTCTAAGCGAATTTCCATTTGTCCGAATTGATTTTCAATTGATCTATTTAAATAATATTAGGTTTAACGAGTACCTAGGTTTGCTGCTACAAGGAAACTAATAAAGTAGTGTGTTTTTAGTAAAATATTGATAGCTTACTATAAAATAAATAAATTTGCCAAGTTTGATCAAAATATATCCATAAAGAAGCAAACTACAACATTTTACAATATTCTCCATAAGAATAACATGGGAATTTTAAATTTACAATTTTTTTGTTTTCTCCGTAACCAATAACTGTACAAAAACACTTTGATATACTGAATTGTTTGTTTTTTTAAGCTCTTTAAGAAGGTTTAGAGAAAAATTGGTAAATTTTGTGTTTTGAGGGTAAGAAGTGAGAAAAACCAATTTTTACCCCATAAAACCCTGTTCCCATGGTCCGATCATGCTGGATCGCGAACTCATTCAAGTTTATCCCGCCTTACACCTTCAAACCAAATTTCATCAAAATCGGAAAAAAATTACTCAAGTTATCGTGTTCACGGACACATATATATATATATATAAATCTATATATATATACATATATAAAAATTTGAACGAATGGTGTTTTTGGCCTCTGGGGACATTAAAATGAAAAAGTAAATCGGTCCCGGGCCTAAGTCTTACCATGAGACCTACGGTAATAGCTACTTCCCCTATAGGGAAATTCGCTAAAACTACTTAGTTTTCTTATTTAACCCTCCCAGTGTTACTTGACGAAAATTCGACAAGCAGCACACTTTGTGTAGTGTTACTTGTCGATTTTTCGACACGCAGACATCGTTTACGGCGAAGGCTCTATGACTGACTGAATCGGATTGAACTGGATCGAGTTAGGTATCGTTCTTTCCGTAATATTCTAAACTTTCTCCAGAGGTCTGTCTCTAAGCGCTATTCATTTTAGTTCCGAAAATATTGTAGCAGACAGCTGACGTGCGTGTATTTGTAAACAGCTAGGTTCCCCCGGACCGATGACTGATGTGTTTTATTACGTTTATCATTGTTTTAGTGTTAAAAATCAAAAGTAGTGATATACGTGGTGCACTATAAGAAGATTTAAGTGGTTTTGAAGTGCTGGTTGATGATCCTGAAGAAGTAGGTAGTGATATTGATGTAAATTATCAGCCAGATTCCTAGCTATGGTTAGGCTATGCATTCTTAGCTAAACGCTATGTACTGAAATCAGTTTTTTGCCCATAACTTATTTATTTCCAAATATACTTCCTTATATTATTATATATTTGTAATCCCCATAAAATTTAGAACAAAGTGGCTATTTTCAAATATTTATAGGCCTATAATTTATACAATTTCATTGAGCGCGAACTTATTTTTTTTTTGAAAATTTTCGAAATTATATTTTTTTACCTAAAAATTTTTTTTTTGAAAAAATGTTCCTTATGTTTTATATATAATATTGAAGCCCATGATGTTCCAAACAAAATGGTATATAGAACATTAGAATTAACATTGTTTTAAGCTTCTCAGATCCGTTTTAATAAAACCTTGCAAATGCGCCAAAAATAGGTGGACATTAAGGCCTAAACTATGGACACTTGGAGGGTTAATGCCCAAAGAATCGGTGTACCGAATTTCAGCCTCCTTGGGAAATGGGAGAATTAGTGATGAGTGAGTCAGTGAGGGCTTTGTCTTTTATATATTTAGATGAATATTTTTTTCTATATACTGCAATAACTTTAAATTTATGAAAATGAGATACTCGTGCGATTTATCTAAGCAGCAAAATTTTTTATGGCCGCCATTTTGTTTTATGAATTTTAAAAATTGACATGATTTTGTTGTAGCTTTGTCTAGGTGTCATGAATGTTTGTGCAAAGTTTCTATTTCTTATCTTTAACCACTTTAAAAAAAATAATTAATAAGTGAAAAAACCATATGGCGGCTGTGTCAGTAACTAAGGACTTCCAGACCATTTAAATATGATATTTGGATATGTTTCTAACCCGGGGAATAATGCCCTAAAATATCCCACACAAATCTTGAAACACCCAGTTTAATAAAAACACTACTAATTTACAACATTTAAAAGATGATGTTTTCAGGAAAAAGCATTTAGCTTGGATTAAAGAATTGCATAGGGCAGAGCGTCACCTGAGGGAAAATTGCAGTCACAGCACCAATACGTATTTAAGTCTTTAGTGTGTATAAATTTATTGGTGCTGTGACTTGTCTACGACCTTTTCCTTTAGGTGAATTAGAATGTCCTTTCCACCTTTAATTCATCAATATTTAAAAGAATAATTTACCTACCTCAACAAGACTAAAACTGTATCAATGCACATTGTGTATTTTAAATTCATTTTCAAAATCTATTTGGTCTTCTGTTTTACAATCTGGCTGGTTAAATGTTAACTGAAGGTAGTCAATGTTGAGTTAATTTAATTTACATTAAACTGATACGTAGAAAGTTTGTCAACAACACTGGGCCCTAGAAAGTCCCCTTGAGACATAAACCAAAGGCTAGAGGGGTGAGGCCAATAACCATTCGTCCCTCAAGATCATACGATAGATGGTACCAAATGACACCTTAATTAAAATTGGGGACAGGCAAAAAAAAATGCTACAGAGAAGTACCTTATTGTAGTAAGTTTTGTTAATCTATTATTTACTGTGTACCTAACACTATAATGTGGGCAACTGGACAAAATCAGGGCAACATGTACATGAAATGAGACTAGTTCCAACAAGTTATCACTAGCAACCAGCACTTGATTGCTCCATTTTACTATTTAAAGATAAAGTACACATGTGTTCCAAATTATATTAAACCCAGGTGTTGTAAGAAACAAACACAACTTTTGAAAGATAAACAAAACTTTTTGAAATCATTCATCCAAAATTTTTTGTGAATAATCAGAATGGTCAATGAACATGATAACAGGTTAGATTTTATTACTTATCTGATTAGAGAGTTTGTTTAGTTTCATTAGCAGTTTGTATCAAAATACATTGATTTTGTCAGGATCCTTTCCTCTTTGTTTTCTCCACGAACCACCTACTAATCTTACTGCTGGTATTTATAAGTTGCCACTTAGGTTTAGCTAAGTGGATACAGTGGTCACCTGTTCTGTCCTGAGAACAAGCTATTTGATAGTTTGAAACTAGTTTCAGTTTTCCATTATCAAGTGCTTTTTATAAATGGCATGGCTGTAACCTCATTCACTCAATGCTCGATAGCTCCTTCACGCATCTCTGCCTTAAAATACATACCCTTAGGTTTTGGCATCCTAAACGAATCTAATACAATCTCAATACATTCAGCAGTCAGCACAGAAGAATTCAAGGAGCTCAATGAAGAATTCATCCCTCTTCCAAACTGTGTAACCTATGATTATTTCCAAAAACAATGCTTCAGACTTAAATTTTGAATTAATTAAATTAAATATCTTTGTTATGTTTTGATTATTGAAATCTAGTTCATTTATCACAAGAAACAATCCCACATAGATACAAGACTTTTTTTTAGTATTAATTCTTATTAGTATGAATTATCATTGTAACTTACTAGTAGTTATATCTGGATTTCAGGAAAGAAAACACCAATAACAAAACATCTAAAACTAAAAGCAGAGAAAACAATGGTTGTAAATCTGAAGACGGAGGAGCTGGGGAGTAAGTATGGATGTTCAACAATCATTTATCAATTATAGTTCTCCATCAAGCTCTTGTCACACCCAAAAGAGCTAGATCAAATTTGAGACCAACACCGTGTTCCTTATTTCATCGACTTTTTTTAGTTCGTTCCCATCCACAAAGGACGATTTGCCTAGTCAAAGTATGTTTTGAAGGAAAATTGAAGCTCCAGCCAAGTATGTATCTCGTTCTATGATTAGGTTTCTGAGGAAAGGGGGCCAATATCTGTTAGTTACAGTTGCCAGTTGAAGTGTTTTGACGTATAAAATGTGCATTCATAGCCAAGGGACATAAATGCACAAGCATGCATAAATTCGACAACGGCCGGTAGTGGGTGTTGATCAGTTTTCATTTAGGCCTAAACACTAATTTAACTCGAGGAAACTTTATTTGCTGATTGATGTGTTTAAGACTTGAAGAGCACCATTGGCTTTGATAGTCTTATAAATATGTCCCCTTAGTTTGATAATCCCTCTTGTCCAGTAACACCACAATCCTTATGCAAAATTTCCTTAACTTTAGTCATTGCATCAAACAAAACTGATGAACAGCAGGCGCCTGACACTTGGAAAACTTGATGCAACTGTTGAACCACCTCCAAACACTCTTGCTCCTTGAACACAGTTTCTTCGTCCAAACAGCTTACTCGATTCATGTCCGTCGACTGGAAATGGACTTTCAATAGCGGTTATGAGGACTGAGACCACAGAAATATGATCGCAGAACGAGATTCGTACTTGGCGGGAAGCTTCATTTTTAAAAAACCACCGTTCATAAACCTGTAACTTCAATCATAACATTGTTAAGGTTCCTAAAGTTGAGAGTCCTTAGAGGCTAGCGGCCATGTTGGATTATTTCTAACAGCTGTTAAAGGGTTGTTTATCGTCCAAAAATATTTTTTTCAAATACCAAAGTGATTGTCATTTAAATATCGAGTGCACTTGGTAGTTTTGTAATTGTTTTCCAAGGGAGTCCATGGAGGCTAACGGCATAGACTAACCAACACAAGTAGACTTCTCATCCCATTGTAAATTTTGAAGCACGTTTTTCGTGTCTAGTTCATGTACGCCACACTGGGCACTAGTGTCGACGAAACTTTGTTTCTATTATTTTAGGGTTAATTTCTTAATTTGTGCTTTACTGTTTGGTTATATAACTAGGGGACAAGCTATTGTTTATGATTAGATCGTATTATTTGGTTAAACGAGGTTTTAAATGGCTGTAATAACGGGAAACAAATTGTAAACAAAACACGACCTCTACACAAAACCGTACAGAACTAACAATAAAATTGTCTTCAGCTGTTCCATAAGGATGAGAAATCTACTAAGGGAGTATGTTTTATCTATGCTAACGGCCATCTTGGATTTGCGCTTTTGATTATGTAAGCTACACTTAAATACTTACTTACAATATAAAAAGCACAACATTTTGAGGTGATTTGCGTTTATTTTTTAGTTTTGAAAGTACGTTATGAATGCTACCTCAAAGTAATACTTAATTATTTTCCTGATCAATCATAAAAAAAGGATTTTGTTCAAATAAATCATCATAAATCAGTTTTGATTTTTTAATATAGTTAAATATAGCAATACACAAACCAGTGTCGAAGCAAATGCTTTTGGCATCCAAATGTGTGGCAAAATAAATCAAGGTTTTAAAAATTTGTTTACTTTTGTATATTACTCTACAGTCTACAGTCCTGTTATAAATTACTTGTTGTTTCAGTGTCGTCGCTGACTTTATTGAAGATGTTTGGGAAGTGATGACTCCAGAAATGCTTGAACGTCTTCGTTGTGTTTTAACAGAAGATATGGGTTTGTCAAAAAAGTAGGTTAATTGTAAAAAGATACGGTGGTTTTTATGTCAATAAAGTAGTTAGTAGACTAAAGAAGTAAAAAATGGTTTAATATTTTATTTAGTACTTTCCTTTGTACACATCAATGATTAAAAATTACGAATTAAAGATTGAAAATTGTTTCAATTTTTATAAATACAGGTACCAGAATACCAATCAGCCACAAACTATGGACCTTATAAAGATACATTATGAAATGAATTAAAACTTGCAGTAAAATCTAAAAGAAGTAAAACAATACATCATGATAATTTTCACATTTAGAATGTAAAAAAAAAATATAGAACAAATGTCTACTGCTCCACTTGTCCTCAATCTTATCTTATCATTAATCAATGACTTGGTTGATTTGGTCATAAACACAACAAATATTTTTAAAAACTTCTACAGAAAAACTTTAATCCTGTAGAAGTTTTTTTATCAATTTTTTTTTTTTTTTTTATTCGAGGAAAAAGTCAACACATTTGAATGGAGTCTTATAACTTTACAATTAGTGTTACTCTTAATATCTTTGGTTTCGTATACGGTACGGTAATTAACCTCTATGTAATATTTTTTTCAGAGATGCTGATGAATTTATTCAAAGTCAAAGAGCAATTCGAAAACAGCGCATTTGTTTGAAAAAGGACAGAAAATTTGTAAGGATAGGACCGAGAAATCAATGGATTAAAGAGCTCTCAAGGGATATTGCTAATCCAATAGCTTCAGCCCTTGTTGGAATTCTATTATCCAAGAGGACAGCTCGGACAAAGAAAATAACAGAAAAAATTCTAGAGCGACTTTGTGATCTAACAGGGGAAAACACTACGGTGAATTCTGCCAAGACAAGAATAGAAAAAACTTTAGTTGTTGTGGCGGATCGCATGGCAACTTATTTTGATGAAGCGATAACTGATATGGAAAGAGAAATGGAAAAACACTATAGACCTGTTCAATCATTTGGGGATTGGGAGAGACAGTCATTGGATACTTTAATGTCTACAGAGACATCCACCCTTTCAGAAAGGGATGAACTGGATAAAATGTCAGAGTCAGAAATTGAAAGATTGTTAACTCATGACGAAAAGAAAAGAGTAAAAGTTCAAGAACAAGGAGACATTTTAAGTGAAGACATCACTAGTGATGAAGAAAGTGATGAAAGGGAGTCAAAAAGCAAAGAGGAATCAGAAGAAGTTACAACTGAAGACGAAAGTGAAGTGTCTGTACAAGAAGAGGAAGAAGTGGATGAAGAAGAGACAGAAGATGAAGAATCGTCTGCAGTTGAAGAAGAGGAAGCAATTGAAGAAGAGGAAATGGTTGAAGAGGAAGAAGAAATTGTAGAAGAAGAAGAAGCAGAGGAAGAAGAAGCAGAGGAAGAAGAGACAGAAGAAGAAGAGGAGGAGGAGGAAGGGGAGAAAAGTGAACTTGATGGTGATAAAGATACAGTTGAAGAGGAAAAAATAGAGGAGCACAGAGTGGAACCTAACATTGTGGAATCTAAAGAAAGCGCAGAAAAAGTCGATGATACATTAGAAGAACCGTCAAGGACACATTTAGATATCTTAGAACTATTGAAAGAAGACATTGAGCGTACATCAAAAGATGGAAGTAAAACTGACCGGCAAATAGCAGTAAAAAATATTATCGAAAAGAGATTTGAAGCAATAGCCAAAGAAAAGTTAGACAAATCAATAGATAGCATTGTAAGATTTGATATTGACGAAACCGCCTCTATTGTTGCTAACTGGTTGGAAAAGATTTTACCATCAGGGGACATTTCAGCTAAACTGTCATTAGTACCATCACTCATAAAGAAACAAGGTTCAGCGTTTGAAATCACAGTAGGTAAAGGCAGTCAATATGAAGTGAACAAAGTGAGTTCAACCACAGTTGCTGCAAAGGTGGCTGACGTGAAGGGTATTGAGTTTCCCGTTAGAAGAAAGAAACTTCCCCGCTCAATGTCTCCAATAAATAGTGAAACTACGAAAGATTGGGCTGACTGGGCCTTAGAAGCAGCGAATGTTGGAGAAGAATGGGGTAAGTGGTTAGACAAAGCTTTAGACAGTGTCGAGGAGCGTTTTCTTCAGGATAAAGCTCAGATTGAACAACATGATGAATGGAAAACCTGGAAAGATTCTTTAGAACATGAAGCTCAACAGTGGCGCGCAGAAAAACATAAGATAAAAGGTGAAGCTTACTTATGGAACAAGAAAATTGTCAGTGGCAAAACCCCTGGGCCAGAAAAAGAGACAAATATTGTGAACTATTGACTTTCCTTTTATGCATACTATACTTGTAAACAATGTATAACTTATACTGTGTCTTAAAAATAATTATATCCCATTCATGAAGATGTTGTATGACCATTTTTGTAAAGTGTACTACCATAACAATAGGATACTGAAGTAGACATCAAGACATCCCATCTACTGCAGTATCCAAAGTCAATGATAGAACTTAGGTTTAGGTTTTGCAGCAGTGTTTCCATATACAGGATTTTTTAGGATATGCACACTATCACAACAGGCTATACCTGACCTCTGATTTCTTAATACTCTTAGTTAAAATTTTGCTTTTTAGATAAAAACCAACCAAACTATCCCAATTGATTACATTTTTAGAACAGGGTTATAGCATTGTTATAGCTATTTAAAAATTATGACTGGATTGAACGGGAAATTCAGGAGGGATAAAACGAGATTTTCTTGGCCCAGCAAGCGGGGTTTTGGTTTTAATAGCGTGGAAACACTGGTTGAAAGTGACTCGAGATTTTATAACCATAGGTTACATAGTTCCTGTATTTTGTGTGAAAAGCGCGGTTACCTTTAAATTCAGGCCACGGCCTGGTAGAATTGGCAACGTCGCAAATAGTGGTGTTAAGCACTAGACGTCCCATAAGCTAACATGGCGAACAGGTGGCACCCTCTCATGTAATCGTGTGTTAAACATCATGTTAATTGTTAAAATGTACTACTGACAGTGTTGCAACAACTGTGAAAGCCTGGAGTTAAAGGTGTGGCCTTAGTAAAAAAAAGGCTTGCGATCTGGTGTTAAGGATAATAACATTTTCAAGTTGAAACAGTGTTTCTTAGTTGTTGTTTTGTTACAGACAAGTTTATCTATGTTTGTAACCTGAGTAAAATCATAGACTAACCAACACAAGTAGACTTCTCATCCCATTGTAAATTTTGAAGCACGTTTTTCATGTCTAGTTCATGTACGTGACACATGGGCGCTAGTGTTGACGAAACTTTGTTACTATTATTTTAGGGTTAATTTCTTGATTTTTGCTTTACTGTTTAGTTATATAACTAGGGGACAAGTTATTGTTTATCATTAGATCGTATTATTTGGTTAAACGAGGTTTTAAATGGCTGTAATAACGGAAAACAAATTGTAAACAAAACACGAACTCTACATAAACCGTACAGAACTAACAATAAAATTGTCTTCAGCTGTTCCATAAGGATGAGAAATCTACTAAGGGAGTATGTTTTATCTATGGTAAAATCCTTTAAAGTTAATATTTTTTTTGTTATATACACATTTTAGCCATATTTTTGTAAATTTTTTTCAAATATTATTTTTAAGCTAACAATAGACTAGTTTTACTGTGTTAATTCAGCTGATAGAATAAACAAGTTCCTCAACAAAACAACTTTTTGTAAATTTCAATTACTAACATTTCAAGACAGAGGTTCCAAATTTTAGTTATATTTCTCAATTTAGTCTCAACTGCAACATAATTCTACACCTCAAAAACATCTTAAACAGGTTAGTTAAATCAACTTTATCCAATTGAGTGATAATCAGTTACATTTACTCTTGAAATATAACTAACTAGCTGTAACCCGCGGGCTTTGCCCGTTTAACTTCTTAATTTTCAAGATTATCTCGTTCGCATGGCTCAATCACGTCCTGGTTGAAGTTTGTTCGCTACACTCACTCACCTTTAGGTTGGAGCTCGTTCGCTACGCTCACTCACCTGAGTGTTCATGGCCAAGAGACTGAGCAACACATTAGACTTCAAGAATTGAAACTAAATAGGTATACTATTACATAGGTAGGGTAGGTACCTAAGTATTGAAAAAAATAATAACGTAAAAAGTGTGAGTAGACCTGAGTTATAAGCTACAAACCAGCAATTCATCCTAGGCACAAATTTAGGGTTTGAATCAGTCTGTTCCTTTCTTTTACCTTATTTGAACTATTTTTCTTTAATATGTAAGGGTGAAATTCTTACATGGAATATGCAAACTAGCCCATTACAAGATCCTTACAGTGAATAGGAAATCCAGTGGGATCCATAATTCCTTTTATGTTAAATTTGAAATAGCCTAAAATAAGTTGTGGGAGGTTATATTTTTCAAATATTTTCAGGGGAGCACCCTTGGCCCCCGTCCTCGTTGGGGCAGACCTCCGGGCAGGCTTCCGACATATGCCCCCCTCTCTGTGAACATTTTTTTTCTAAATTTTGTCCCCTTAACTCCTGGGTTAGCCTCCACAGATTTTGGGGCCTAGAGCCGCCTATGCTCATAGCGTACTAGTAAAATTATAAAATTACATACTGGCATACTGTAAAATTATATAAATAATTTTTTTCAAAATGTTTGTGATTTTTAAATCTTTATCGTATTTATTAAGAAAAATAAAAATGATTGTGTTTTCAGGAAATATTGGTACCAGTTCAATGAGAAAACAAAGCATGTATTCCCCAGTAAGTATCATTTCACTGCACTCCTATTTAGTTATAAACTGTTGTAAAAAAGTATTTACCATTTTTAAATTTCAATGTTGGATGAAATTAAAAAAAAGTCATGGTTGAAAGTTTGTTTGGTTTTACAGTTACAAAAGTTTCACAATTCCAACACTGTATTTCAATATTTCAGAAGCAAGACGTTTATGAACCACCGAGGTTTCAGCCGTGTCTTCACAGATTTTTCCGAACTGAGTTGGTACAGCGAGAGTGCTTAACTCCTGAACAGTATGTGGACATGCTGTCTACTCCAAAGGCGTAAGTTAGATAAATGTTTGAATTATATTTATTTTTATGTGGTTAATCCTACTAAATACTTACTCAACTGAATTGTTTTGCTATCTTGAACTGTCTTAATTTTTTAAACCTTTTTACAGACACCCGTGGCTAGAAGCCGTTCAGGAATACAATGAAAAACACAGTAAAAATTCAAAGAAAAAGAAATACAAGAGAGGTGAAGAAGAGGTGCCAAGCCAAGAATTACGCTGTATTGAGTATGTTTTGTAATGTTAAGATTCACAATATTTCAACTTCCAGCAGTGTTTAGTGGGTGTAAATTGGCAGGTTATATTTAAGATATTTGTTCAATTTGTTTTCTTATTGGTAAAAAATTAAGAACCAAAAATATACAATTATCTGAGTATGGCCACAATCGCAAACACCTTTAGTGTGTAGTGATTACATCAAAAAATGGCGGTAAAAGTTCCAAAAACAAAACAAAGTTGTTGTTCCTAAAGCAAGTTTTAACTAATTTTTAGTCTAAGTAATGACCACCTTAATACACTTACCATTGTATTACTATTACCTAGTCCACAAGAAATAACAAAAATCTTTCAGTTTCAGCTTTGCTGAAGAGTTTATAAACGACATGTGGAACGTCATGTCACCAGAAGTTGCTGATAGATTGATAGACCTTCTTGTCAGTGAATTTGGAATGACTGTTGAGTAAGTAATCTATACTTTAATCTCATTAAAATTATAGCACTGTACACCTTGAATTTTTTTTCGAGCTAATTTCAATTATAACAAAGCCTTAAACAATTTGGTTGGACAGAAAATGGTTGGACAGGACAGAGAAATATGAAACATAGACTTTTTTTTAATTTTTCTGTGGTAAAAGTAAATACTGTGTAATTGGTAATTGTTATATTGAATAAAGTTGAAATATTTAATATGTTTCAGTGAGGCTGAAGATTTTATCGACTGCAAAAGCACTGTGGGAAAACCAACACCATGTGTAAAAAAACAATCTAAAGCAATAACTAATCTCGGTCCAAAACATAAATGGGTAAAAAAGTTTTCAGATGTGTTTGCTAGTAGGATTGAACAATACATTGTCAGTTTGTTGATGACTAAAAAAACAACAAGAATAAAAAGGATTGCCGAACGGGTACTTAATGATATTTGTAATGTTACTGGGGACACAACATCGTTGCAATATCCTAAAACTAAGCGTGAAAGGACATTGACTCTTATTGCTACACGTTTGGCTTTTTGGTTTGAGGAGATTGTAAATGACTTGGATAAACCCAAGGAAGATAAGCCTTCAGTGAGTGAAGAAGAAGATGATGATGAGAAAGAAATGCCTGAAGAAGAAAAGGAGAGTGAGGAAGAATCGGCTAAGGAAGATGAGAAAGAGTCAATAGAGGATGAAACAGAAATAAATGAAGCTGAAGAGTCTGTAGATGAGAAAACTACATACGGAAAATCTAAAACTAAAGAGGATTCTAAAACAGAAAAAGACAAACTACCAGTAGCAGAGGAAGATACAAAGATTAAAGATGAAGAACTACCACAAGAAGAGGATCAGACTATTGGAAAAGTCCCTGATGAAGAAAATCCAGCTGAAGAAAAGCCAGCTGAAAATAAGCCAGTTGAAGATAAGCCAGCTGAAGATAAGCCAGTTGAAGATAAGCCAGCTGAAGATAAGCCAGTTGAAGATAAGCCAGTTGAAGATAAGCCAGCTGAAGATAAGCCAGTTGAAGATAATCCAACTGAAGACAAGCCAGCTGAAGATAAGCCAGTTGAAGATAAACCAATTGAAGATAAGCCAATTGAAGATAAGCCAGCTGAAGATAAGCCAGCTGGACATTATCCAGTTGAAGATAAGCCAGCTGAAGACAAAAGTGAAGAAATGGCTAAGCCTCAAGAAAATGAAAACCCTCCAGAAGAGAAAGAACAGCCTAAAGAGGAGGAACAAGCTAAAGAAGAAGTTACTGAAGAAATCCCAGTCAAAGAGGAAGAAGGTAAAGTAGAAAAATCTGAAACCGTTTTAGAGAAACAAAAGCCCCCGGAAGAAGTACTTGCACCTCAAGAAGATAAACCAGCAATTAAAGAGGCTGAACAAAGTGAAGTGGTTGAATCAGTAGCAGAGGAAACAGTTCCACCTGAAATAGAACCAGTAAAGGAAGAAGCTGAAGACAAGACATCAGTTAAAGAAGTGGAAGACATGAAGGCATCTGAGGATAAAGTGGTTCCAAAAGAAAAGAGTGACGAAAAGCTTCCAGAAGAAAAACATGTTCCGCAGGAGGAGCCAGAAAGAAAATCAGTTTCTGAAAAACAATCAGAAAAATCACTTCCAATTCTCGAACCTACAA